GAGAGAGAGAGAGAGAGAGAGAGAGTATATATATATATATATATATATATATATATATATATATATATATATATATATATATATATATATATATATATATATATATGCAAGTTGTACTGATCATATTTGAAATATGTGCCTTGGATTAGCATTATAAGTAATATGTTTAATTTGAACTTAAATATTTTTGATTAATTGTTTAAGTTCAATTGAGTTAATAAGTCAATTATCCTTTTTTTTATATAATTATAGGATAATTGACTTGGAGTGGAGAATTATCCTTAAAAAATTATAGGATAGTTTTTATTTTTGATTAATTTTTATAATTATCCTATTTTTTTTTTATAATTATAGGTTGTAACAATTTATAATTTTTTTTTAGTGGAGTGGAGAATTATCCTACTCAGAAGTGAAAAAAAAAGAAATATAAAGTAGTAATGCGATACAAATCAACAAATATAAATAAGAAGGTTCAAATTTTAAAGTATGTTTTCATTATAATACATTTGTATGTAAAATTTTTATTTGATCTAACTAGTCAAATATTTTTTAGAGCTTGAATTGCTACAAAATATTTGTATATGAAATGAAGATTGAGAGAGAACTAAGAATAGTTTCTCATTTCTAAGAATTGAAAGAGTTGGATGACATATAAACTCAATCTGTACTTATTATTTAAGATTTTATTTAATGGAACCAATTCATACTTGCTTATTTCTACCTTATGTAATCCCTTACATTTGTTCTCACCTTCAGATCATGTGTCTCAATAAGAAAGAAAGGGTAGATGGATTCTTAGCAGTGATTCTGCATCATATCAACCATGGCTATCATTGTGATGAGTATGCATCATCCTTGGTATTTCTACACCAGCTTGGTGTCTATACAACAATCATTGATTGGCCTTTTACAGTATATTAGCAACAGCAGAGAGAAACCTTTAACTTCATGAGTGAGAAGAGATCAGATTACATTCCTCTTAAGCAAGTGGTAATGTACAGTGTGAGTAGTATTTTACAGTTTGTTCTTACATCATATACATAAATGCACATCAATGATTAGGGAGACTTCAGTGTATCCAACTTGTGTGTCCTCTGCAACAATTCAGCAGAAATCAGACTGTAAGTGAATCCACCTATATATATAAACAACACAATTTACCAACACAAAAAGATCCTACTCACCAAAAGGGCATAGGTTTCATCTAATAGAGGATGGATCGCTGAGACATAAATCTTGATGTCTTCTTTCAGGGCATCATAATCTTGCTCTTGGCCCATCAGCAATCCGATGAAGATCTCTCTCTCTGGAACCAGCTTGATAGCTACCTACTCATTCACAACTTTGCTAAGCATGATCTCAAGAAGAAGAATTATAATTCCCCCAATTATTTTTCAGCTGATCTGACAGAAATTTGACTCACTTTAGCTAGAAATTGTTCTATAAATACATTTTCTATCATGATTTTGCTAGATTCATAACTACAAACTTCAGTAGTTGATTTAAAGAGTAAAGCAGCAATTGTAATGTAATGAATGCTTGAATCTCTACTCAAACATCTTCCCTGTAATTAAGAGGGCAATCTGTGGACTAGTAAGTTATTATTAGAGAAAAGCTATAAGATTAAAGTTGCAAGAAGAATCTGTAACCAGAAAGAAAGATTTCAGTGAGCTGTGGTGAGTACCTTGTAAGCAGTTGAGGCAACCCAACCATGCCATGGCTTCAGCGTATCAGTGTATGTTTCTTCCACCACTTGTGCAAGGCTCCACTCAGGGTTTTTATCTAACTCTTGGAACAAAGTTACACTGAAAGTTATCGACCTGTTTGAGAATATAGACAGAAATACAGCAAAAATTAATTAGAATTTCATTTTTTTTCCTCACAAAAATTATCATCTCTGAGTTCATTTATGTAGTTAATGAGGTTCGGCATGAGACTTGCGAATCGGTAAAAGGAAGTGTACATCTGTACCTAGCAAGCCATAATATAGCTCTGGAACAGCTGTCCTTGTTTCTTGAACTCCTTTGGTCCACCTCTTTCTTCACCATCTCTACCAAACTTGAATATAGATTTGGATTTAACATGTACATTTCTTCCACCCTCTGAACAATTGAAACTATTTAGTCATTTGTTCTAGCTAAGATCATATCTGACACTGTATAATTTACAGCATCATGAAAAATGTAGTTTTTTTGTCACGGCACAGCCCCGTGCCAGTTCAGCTGGTTGGCCAAACCCTTAGCACTTGCCCCAACTACATGTTTGCTTGTTCTTGGCACAACATTATATTGCTGTGCCAGCACATTACCAGCATGGCAAGTGTTTGATTGGCACAGAACAGTACAAAGAAGTAACAGAGTCAGCTGATTACAGAAAAGGAATGCATCTTAATTGAGATGTGATTCTTTATGATGAGGATCATATAAGAAGAGTTGATGGTAGTTCAATGGAACTATCTATGAAAATAGGCAAATGCATCTTTTGGAAGTCACTTGATCAGGTCGACTTCCATAATTTATTTCATGACAAATTTCATTACAAGAATTGGTGCTAGTATGAATACATATGTATCAGAAACATCTGGCTAATGTGCCACTGGATTAATCACATTCTCCTTTTCATCTGAGAAGCATGCCAAGGATTTGATTTTTGAGAACATGAGACTCTGGCCCCGTTAATTCTTTTTAAGAGAAGAGAACACTAAATCAAATTTCTGAGAACTTCATTTAAAAGTTTCAGAAAGCTTCATGAAGGCAAAATTTTAATCTCTGATCTGATTATTTTGTGATGCTGACAAGTAACATATTTTCTCTACCAAATTACGTCCAGAGCAACTTGAATTATGTTGGATTCTGAAACCTAGCTTCCAGATTGCTAACAGATGCTAGAGTATTTGTAATACAACCAAGGAAATCCGCCGAAAGAAAAGTTGACGGAGAAAAATGACAATCAAAGTATAAAATCTGAAAAGAAAAAGACTCTTCATCTGTGAAATTTGCATATTAGAAATGGCTGAAAGAATCGTGTTGTCGCAGGTTTACCTCGATATTTTGTTGTATGTCTTGCCTTAGCACCAGAAGTGTTGGTCCAATCTTATCTGTGAAATCAAAGAAAGTATCTGAATAAGAGACAATAGATACGCATCTTAAAATGGCAGATAAAATTCTTGAAATGTTACAAGGCGAAAAACGTTTTCATCAATCCAAGTGTTCGATGAATTGATTCTTTTTCATATACCAAGGAGAAGGAAATGAAAATGAGGACAGAAAAGCAAGTTGTCATTCTCTAACAAAGTTGAGTAACCCATCATGAGCTCATAGAGCTCCTATTTTTCTTGCCTAGACTTAGCTGATACACAAAAAAGCACACAATCATCAAGTCTCTATGAAAACCGAAGGCAAGAACTATTGAAGAATCAAGAGTCCACAAGATGGCACTAATAAAATGGATCCGAAGCACATTTAAGATTGCAGAAACCATAACCATCTCTTAACCCCTTGACATTATTCGTGGCTCTTGGAAAAGCTCCAAACTCACTGATGTAGCTTCATGCCTTGTTGCTCTTTCATTCTTCTTCTTCTTCTTCTTCTTCTTCTTCTTCTTCTTCTTCTTCTCTTCCTCCTCTTTCTACTACCTTCTGAAATGAAATCATGAGACACCATCATCTCTTTTGCTCCCCCTCTCACACACAACAACAACAACAACCAAACAATAGTAGTCATGTCTGCCAAAGAAAGACCAGAGAATAGCCATGGCCCACAAGTTTCCAATTATTTGTCTCTCCAAGGCTTCAGCTTCAAATGCTGAACCCATGTGCATCCTGAGGAGACAACATCCAGTCTGCTGTCTCTTAAATTAAGCTGTACCTGACTACATATACTTCTCTATCTTCTTGGAATCCATATAGCTGGAGAAGAAGAGATCAAGACTTCCAGCCTAGTAAACTCAAAGAACGAACAGGATAAACGAGGAGGGAGAGGAGGAGAAGGGAGCAAACCAAGGACATGGAGGAGCAGATTGGAGGCACCAAGCAAGGCCAAGGTGGACACCTTCTTCTCCTCGGTCTTGAACAAGGAGAGCTCCTCCATTGCCAGCCTCACATCCGACCATCCCCGTCTCCCTTCTTCTTCCCCTTCACCCTTCCTCATCTCCAACCCCGCGTTCCTCTTGCTCTGCTCCATTCCCCAATGGACCACCACCAGTCCTCCTCCCCTGTGTCATATATCCCCTGGGTGAGAAGTTGAAATCCCGCTTGAGCAAGGTCAACGAGGGAGGACATGGACTGGAATCCCCATTGCGCCATGGCCGTCGTCATTTGCCCTCTGACCTACGCAAATTGTTTATGGCAGTAATCTATAGAACAAGCTCATACAAAAGCTGAGTCCCTGTGAGGAGTAATCTAATGTTGTCTTCTCCATCAAACGCCCATCCAAGCTTCAACAAAGAAAGCATGTCGTGCATGCAAAACAACACTGTCCACAGATAATTACCAGTTGCATTAAAGTAGATTATCAGGGCACACCTGTTCTTGCTTTAGAAAACCAAATACGCCAATAAATTTCATTACTTCCCCCATCCTGCTGATGACTGAATTCATCATTGGAAAGCCTCGAGACAGGTTCAATCAATCATCTAAATTACAACAATCAAAACATCGTGACATCACGCAGATGCCTGTTCTCCATTACTCCTCTCACTTGCAGGTGATCTTATCCTGCAAACACCATCAAGGTTGAGTTATTTTTCTCTTATGATACAACCAGGCAGCGCATACTGAAGACAGCTACAGAAGTATGATGCACATAAACATTGGCAAACCACAACCTTGCTTAGCCATATAGATTTTGGAGAGGCAAGCAACTGATAGATTTGCTGTGGAAGGGGTGCCTGTTTCACTGTATGGAGTTGACTTTCCACCAGTACATCACTGTCCATCTTTCAAGAGAAAAATCCAGTAGAGTTGGCTATGCCCCTTCTTTGGTATCAGATCACTTTGTTTGTATGCCTGGAATAATTGGGTATCAACAGCAAGGAATAATCATGACAAATATGGAAGTCACTGTCTCATAAATTGAAGAGTATTGGTACTGAAATATAAATGTTTGTATATATGCAATCATTTTGTCCATCTGTGATGGAGTCGAATCCAACATGTTCACACTTGAAATCTTAAAACTACATGATGTAATGTTATCATCATCTGCTACTTGGTGTGCAAGCAAGCACTGCCATTAAATTATGTCTTCAGCAATGTTCTGATGATAAGAATGAGTCTGAAGGGGTGTCTATTGCATATGGAGTTTGGTCTTTCTAACCTATGCTGGCCAACAACAGTACCCACTGTGGCAGCCATCATCATGAGAGAAGCTTCTCTAACCACAGTCAAGTCTTGGGTGAATATGACCAAATGTCATATTGCCTTTGAAGCTGATGTGAAACAATCATTTCTGTACTGTAATTATCTTGTAGATGTGTTAGCTGATGTGAAACAATCATCAGATTAACCTTTGAAGCTCCGAAGAGATAAGAATGCAATTGCCGATGTGACTTCTTGTAGCTGCTTTTTGCTGTGTTGGTGTCTGCAGCATCAAGTTATCATCAGGTTGTATATCATTAGAGGTGCTGATGGCTTAACTGCCATTGTTGGATGTAGTTGGATTTTTATTATCTCAGGAAAGAAAAGGAAATATTATATTGAAACTAAGGATTACAATCTGTTCCTCCAATCTTAGATTATTGTTCTTCTTAATCCTTCCAAAATCACAAGTATTTATGTTGGATCCTATTGATCATTATTTTGTAACAAGGTTGTGTGATATTATCATACCTTTTGAGTCTCCATATAAGACTATTAAAAAAGGATTATATTTAAAAAATTTTTGAATTGATCTAGAATATGTAATATTTTGAGTTTTGTATTAATGTTCGAAAGATAATAGTCTAGATAATTATACACAGACTCAGAATGTGATATTTTTGGATTGATACAGACTATGCTAAATATGACATCTTTCGAGTTGTCGTAAAAATATCCGAAATATAATTCTCTAAACATATAGCGTGATATTTTAAATCCTAAAAATATTAAATTGTCTAACAAATATAAAAAATATTTCTCATCTTCTCTTATTTGACATTCACTATTTGATTATCTTTTTTTCTATCATTTTGTGTTACTAGCTATGAAATATTCTCCGATAATTAGGAAAAAAGAAAAAAAAAATTAAAATGAAATAAATAATTTTTTATAAAGAATAATGACGAAGATGAGATTCAAATTTAAAACTTTATGATAGCCTATCAAAATTTAAGCTCAACAGCCGAAAGAGTTAGTTAAAATTAAGTTATAAATTGAAAATATTTATATTCATTTATAGAGTATTTGAAAAAAATTAAAATAAAACTATAGATAGTGAAAAGAATTGTTAATATAAATATTCTTTATATTTTTTATATTTTCTTAAGAACGGTGCCTCCTTAGAGCCTTCTTTCTCGTAATATATCATAGCCCACTCGAGTTCACCATCATCAAAGATGAAGCCGCCTTGCGTTTCTTGGACCGAATCCTTGATAAGCCCAGTTGTCGAGAAACATGAGGGGTTGCACTATCGTTTCGCCTTGTGGTAACCTCGAACAGAGGAGGGAGAGGAGGGAATAAAAGGATTGGAAGGAGAGCACGATTTGACTGCAGGGAAGAGTGATGAAGCAAGAGGAGAAAACATGTTAGAAGAGGGAGCCAAGAGTGACAACATACTGCTCCTGCTCGAAGATGTAAGGGAGGCACTACTATTAGCATTATTGATGGGCCAAATCTAGAGGCATTTGGGGGAACAAAGAGATGGCAAGGGCATGGATATTATCTTATCTATATATCATACTTGATCGTCAAATTTCTTTTTTATTTCTAATTTCTTTTTCACATCGAGTGCCTAATTTTCTAACCCATTATTTGTCAAAAGAAAAAAAAAACAAAAATGAAAGAAGGCTCTAGAACACGTTGGGTCATGGGGTTGTGTTCTAGAAGGTCAAAAGCTGACGTGTACGAGATCTAATGTCTTTTCCATTTAATACTTTTGTATGACGTTATCAATGACGAATTCAATTGACTGAGTCATTAAATTAATTTAAAATATTTTATATCCTATTTTTAGCCAGGAAATAACTCCTACCAAATCAAACTGACGGTCCTGATCTACGTATCGTCCAAACGCGTTCGGACCGACCTACTACGTGTGGGTCCCGCATTTTGGTGATCGGTTCGTCCAATCAGCGGGCAGGTGCGTGAGACGATCGCCTCCTCGACCTTATAAAAGAGGGCTCGCCCGGCCATCGTTTTCTTGCCAGGAATAGGTTTGCCTTACGTTGTTTCGTAAAGCCGCGGGTTTCGTTGGGTTGGAGCTTTGTTGGCTGTCGAATTCGATCGATCAGAGGGAAAGAGATGGACACGTTCTTCTTGTCGCACGGGTCGCCGACGCTGTCGATCGACGAGAGCTTGCCGGCGAGGTGGTTCCTGAAGTCGTGGCGGTCCAAGGTGTTCCAGGCGGTGCCCAGCGCAATCCTCATCATCTCCGGCCACTGGGAGACCGATTCTCCCACCGTGAATGTCATCAACGGCCACAACGACACCATCTACGACTTCTACGGCTTCCCCAAGCCCATGTACAAGGTTTAATCCTCTTCCGTCCTTGTCGCTCTCTGTCTCTGGTTGATTCTTCTTTGTTTATCAGATGGAATCGCTAAAATTTGTTCTTCTTTTGTGACAATCCGAAAGGGATCTTAGATTATCTTTTATTTTCCTTTAAAAAGAATTGATTTTGTTGTTGTTTGATGTTAGGCCTGTGTTATAACATGCAAGAGATTGCCGCATTTGGTGGCTGCTGTTATAAGAACATATCCATTTATTGGCCTGATACTATGAATTCCAAAATGTTCGAACCAGCAAGACGATGAGACTTATGATACACCGTTGAATAAAGTAAAGCACAGGAAATACTTAGATTCTTGACTCTACCAGGAGCCACTTAAAGGAGTTCTTTTCCCCTACTTATTCTCTGTGGTCAATTGTTTCTTGATCATTAATGATTAAGGTGTGTGGTCAAAATCAATTTTTTTAAAAACCAAAACCAGAACTTTTGTTAAGGAAATTATTTGAGTTCGTCATAATTTTAGATACTAGATCAACATGCTTGCTACTTGTGTAGAAGATAGTTGAAAAACAAGTAAAATTCTTAAGATGTTCTTTTGGTTCTGTTAATTAATTAGTAATACTTGATCTTTGTTTAGTGCTTGGCACAGATTGATTATACCTTTCTTACTTAAGTTTTATTTCATTTTATTTTGTGATCACTATGTAGTTCTTGTATCTGCACTATTCTGTTAGAATGGACTTGAGATTATGGGAAAACCTTGCTACACTTTTTAGATTAAGCTTTTGAATGATCTGGCAGTGGTCAAAAGTTGACATTGTGTCAAAATTGAAAGGTCATATGTTCAACTCTTTAAATTATTTTCTTTGATCAACTTTTTTTTATACATGTTGGGTTTGACCTATTTAGACAACTAACCCATGAAGGAGCATAGTAGTATATAAATGATAAGATCCTGCAACACAACTTTGTTTGTAGATGGTTAGTGGTGGTTTAAACTCATCAAATTTATTTCTTAGACTTTGTTTGTAGTGCTTGCAATTGTGTTTTAGTTTCAAGATGTGAATCTATATGTTTAGGACTTGTCAAATACACGAGATCATCAATGATCTTATGATGATAGATCTTTGTAATAAACAAGATATATGATCTTTTTTGTAATCTCTAATTTAGTGTATCCAAGCAATTCAAACAATCAAGAATAGATATATGAAGTCATAGAGGAAAGTCTTTAGATTTTGCCGCATCTTAACATTAGATTGCAAATTTTGGCATGAATATTTGCCCAAAAAAAGGAACGAAAAGGAGTTTTGGATGGGACCTTATTTACATGTTTATCCTACATTATACACATCCTGAGGAAAGTAATGCGACATGGGAGTCCTTGCCACATGTTTGATCATACAGGGAAATAGTTGTTCTTCAAGTTGCAAGATGAGTGGAGGATACAAATAATTATTTATACTGTTCAATCATTATTGAGCTTTTCTATGGCATATAATCATGTATTTTCACAGTAACAAAAGTATGATCATGCTAAATGAGCATGGATTTGCATCTACACTTGTGATGGATGCAAAAAGCTACAATACTGCATAGCTTGCTTCTCTGTGATGTTCTTGACCAAAAGTAAACATGCAAATGGCTAACTCACCAAATTATACTGTGATGGCAGCTTAAATACCCTGCACCGGGTGCACCCAACCTGGCAAAGAGAGTGAGGGAACTGCTACAGAATGCTGGCTTCGGCCAAGTAAAAGAGGACAGGACTCGCGGACTCGACCATGGTGCATGGGTTCCGCTGATGCTCATGTATCCAGAGGCAGACATACCTGTGTGCCAGCTTTCAGTACAGACAAACAAGGACGCTACATACCATTACAACATGGGGAAGGCACTGGCCCCTCTTAGGGATGAGGGAGTACTTATAATTGGATCCGGAAGTGCTACTCACAACTTGAGAATCTTGAATCGGGAGAGCCAGAATGTGGAAAAATGGGCTCTGGACTTTGATACATGGCTCACGGAGTCACTGATAAACGGGAGGTAAGGGGCACCACCACCCATGATCCAATGATGTTTTATCTAGCTTTCAGAAGATAATAACCATATGAATTGCTATCAAAAAAGCTATTCAAGTTTAGATGATTTGATTTAATCGTCATCATTGCTTCACAATTTTGGTAGACATGATGATGTGAACAACTACGAGGAGAAGGCACCCAATGCAAGAAAGGCACACCCATGGCCGGACCATTTCTATCCGTTGCATGTGGCCCTTGGAGCTGCAGGGGAACAAGCTAAGGCTGAATTAATTCATAGTAGCTGGAGCTACGCCGCTCTTTCTTATTCCTCATACAGGTTTACTACTGCATAATGACCAGTGACAAATAAGCTCCCAAGTCATGTAACTTACCGCTCGTGCTATGTTTTATCATGTCTCATCGCCTACCTGCTGTCATCCGGTAGCTGCATCAAGTTGGATGTTTGTATGTGTAAGTGCAGCCTTTGCTACTAAATATGCATTTGCTTAAAATGTAAAGCTGTCATCATTTATGCAATGTGAACATTGTGCCCATATGCAATAAAATTTCCCTATGTTTTTGGTTCTTTGGTCAATGTTTTGGTTCTCTGCGGTTTTGTACTTTTGAATTGTAGAATACTGAAGAGTCAACAGATGGATGTCTCAAGTGTTGTGGTGTTGAGATGCACTCCACCACCTCTTATCAACCTTTTCTCTGACTTCTCCTAAGGTTGATTTATATGTGTAGGATTGCAGCAAGAAGGAAATGATTAATCTCCTTTCAGGCATGCTAGAGAAATAGGTTGCAGTCAGGAAGTCAGCAACCAGGTTCATAACATATATGTAGGTATATATGAATATGTATTTATATGATCATTTACAAAAATTTAGATTTCATAACATGGGAATACAAGTAGCCTAATTATATGAGTGTAAAGAGTCCCTGATTTATTGATACATCATCTAAGTCTAAACTTAGCACACATGGATGTATGAGATATCTAAATCAAGATCATCACAAGGAACTGCTGAGATAAAAAGCTAGCAGTTCTTACTGATACTTCTCACGCCATTGACAACTGAGCATGGATCAGCATCTATCAGCATGTTCACCACCTCTCTCATGGTAGGCCGGCAAGATGGCAGCTTGGTGGTGCAGAGGATGGCAATCTTGAGCACCTTCCCCATGTCCTCCTCTGCAGAACTTGGCACCCTGTGATCATAAACCTCTGCAAGATTTTGGCCATCGACATGGCTGGAAATCCAAGACACTATGTCTCGTCCTCCGAACTGGGGATCAGTTGGGCCGCGGCCGGTAATCAGTTCCAGTAGGACTACTCCGAAGCTGTATACATCGCTCTTCTCGGTGACCTTAGGACAATACGCAAGTTCTAAGCAAGAAACACATTCAAATTCCGTGAGCTCTAAGGTTTCGGAATCTAAAGCCGAAGACAATTTGCATGCAAAAGATCAAACTGCATTCCGAATGCAACCATACCTGGAGCAATATAACCATGAGTTCCAGCAAAACAACTCGACTCCGATCCTTCCACAACGATGGCGATCCCGAAATCGGCGATTCTGGCTTCGTACTCCTCATCCAGCAGTATATTGCTCGACTTTATGTCTCTGTGAATGATAGTTGGAGAGCAGTCATGGTGGAGATACATGATGCCTTTTGCTGCCCCCACTGCAATCTTGTAGCGCTTGTTCCAGTCCAACTCCGGCAGCCCACCCTTGATCTCCCGGCGCAGAGCTTGATACAGATTCCCATTCGCCATGTACTCGAAGACTAGATAACTCGATTCCCTTCCGGTCAAGCATGCAAAGAGCTTTAGTATGTTCCTGTGCTTGATCTTGCCCATGATATCGATCTCAGCTGTCACAATCTTTGTACCAACAACAGCCTTCACAGCAAATGTTCCTCTGTTCTTGCTCAAATCCAATCGGTACACTTTACCGGTGCCTCCGCGCGCAATCAGATTCTCTTCATCCAGGTTGATGATCTCCTCGGGATCCAGCTCTGTTGGGTAGAAAGATTCAAGCATCCATTCCGAATCCTTCTCCTTTCCTTCCTCCAAATCTCTTCTCCTATTCTGTTCTTCAAGCTCGAAGCTTTGGTAACTCACAAAGATGAGACCAGCTAAAAGTATGATCATGGCGAATGCTATGGTGATCACGAGATACATATGCTTTCGCGTTACATCCGTGTGGCTATGGCTCAGATTACAGAAGCTAAACTCTGTGTGCATTGCTCTATCTGTGCAGAGTTCTTTGTTCCCGGAGAATGCTTCATCTCCAGCAATCAGCAGCAGATCTGGTGGAATTCTCCCTGACAACTGGTTATCCGACAGATCAATAGAGCTCAGCTTCAGTGCTTGTAGACCATCAGGGATTGAGCCCGTGATGTGGTTTTGCGAAAGATTGAGCGAGTTGAGGGAGTTCAGCAAAGCTAGTGTTGCTGGAACATCACCAGTCAGTGAATTCTGTGCAAGGTTGAGGTCCACCAAGCTGTCACACAATCCAAGTTCTGATGGTATTGTTCCTGTGAGCTCATTATCTTCCAGATGCAGAGATGACAGTTGCTTCAGATCTCCGAATCGAGATGGAATTCGACCAGAAAAAGAGTTGTTGAATGCAAACAACTTCTGGAGCTGAGGAAGATCACCAAGCTCTGCTGGGAGCTCCCCCGAGAACCGGTTGTTCTGCACATACAACTGAGTTAAGCTAGCTGACATGGCTATGTCAGAAGACACACCTCCGATGAACTCGTTGTCAGCTACGTCGATGATCACTGCAGATGGCAATCCCCAGATTCCACTGGGAATCCCCCCTGTGAAGCCATTTTGACTGATCCGAAACCTCACCAACGTTTTGCACTCGGCGTATGATCCGGGGAATTGCCCTGTGAAATCGTTGTCGAGAGCAAGCAAGTACTGCAGGTTATTGTTGTGGCACAGGAATCGGGGGAAGTCGCCGGAGAAGCTGTTCTCGGATATGTCGATCTTGTTGAGCGGCGAGAAGCGACCGAGATCGGATGGGAACTCCCCGGAGAAGTTGTTCCCGTAGACGGAGAAGGAGACGAGGTGCTCCAGGTTTCCGAACCCCCGGGGAAGCTCACCCCAGAAGCTGTTTGTGTATAAATGGAAGACCGTTAGCTCCTTCAGGTTGCCGATCTCAGGAGAAAGCTTCCCGGTGAGCTGGTTGCGGGAGACATCGAATTCACGTAGTAACGTGAGATTGGCGAGCTCAGGTGGGATCTCTCCGGTTAGGTTGTTCTGGTAGAGCTCGATCTTGTAGAGACTGCTCAGATTGGATATTGCTTTCGATACTTGTCCTGAGATCTGATTGCGAGAGAGGTCCAACGTTCCCAGCTTCGTCAACCCGTAGATGGAGGCTGGGATTTCCCCTTGAAGATTGCATTGAGCCAAGAACAGCCATGTCAGGTTCTTCAGATGGCCAATGCTCTCTGGTATCTCTCCGGCATCAAAGTCGTTCTCCGCCAGGCCGAGCTCAACCAGACCGGGCAGTTTCCCCACCCAGGCAGGGAATTCTCCAGTGAAGCCATTTGTGGACAGATCAAGAACTTGCAGGTTCCGCAGAGCTGAAAGATCAGGCAGCAAACCACTCAAGCTGTTGGTGGAGAGATTGAGGACCCGAAGGCTGGTGCAGTTGGCCAAGGCCAAAGGGACAACGCCGGAGATGGTGTTGCCGCCGAGCTCCAGAGTGGCCAAGCTGCGTAGAAGAGAGATTGACGGTGATATGTTGCCTGACAAAGAGATGCTTGGAAGAGAGATTCCGACTACATGGCCGGTGCCGATGTTGCAGTGGACTCCAGCAAACTCACAAGGAGATTTAGATTCATTCCAGCTCTCAAGTTGGTTCATAGGATCATTGAGCTGGCCTTTTATTTCAAGGAGCACTTTGGATTCCGGTGAAAGGGATGAGGAGATGGGAGTGACAGAAAGGAGAAGAAGAAGAAGAGTGGCCAAGAAATGGAAGAGAAAGGCTGATTTCAACATTAAGGAGAGCTGTGATTCTTCACCTGGACATATGAAACAAGGAGGACCCATCAGTAGATGCAAAAGATTTGATTCTACAATCTTAAGGACAACAAAAGATTTCATATATAGATGAATCCTGAAACCATGGAAGTGGCTGAACAATGAATGAAGAGAAGATCACAAACATTCATTGTTACATGTTGCCTCTCAAAATATTGGCACTACAGCAGGGGAGAAGGAAAAAAGAAGAGCATCAACAGAGACAATGAAACTTGATTTACTGGCTAAATATGAAGGTTTTTGCACCAAAAACATATGATCAAAGTAAAAGAGTTTGAGTGAGTGACATGCTGCAAGGCTCAGAAACATCAATCACTATGCAGAAAAAATAACTATTTTCCATGTTATCTGTGAAATCAATAAGCTTATTACTTATAGCTTCTGCTACTATTATACTTGATTTAATCTCTTCTCAATTTTCCATCTCATAGAATCTTCAAATCAATGAGAAATTAGCAATAAAAATTGCTGACTTCCATTTTGTTTTCCCCCTTTCTTCAGAGAAAATTATGGAGAATCCAGAGTTTGCAGTCAGATTAGGTCCAATTAAAATCAAACAACTAGTAATTACAAAGAAAAGGAAGACAAATTCTATTAGGCAATCAAAGTATGACTAAAATAAGGTATTACAATCTATGTGAATACAAGTATTATCTGGAAATGTACTTCCAATATGTTTCTTTCTTCTATACACTTGATGAAGAGATGGGATGTCAGAAGCACTATAACACAAGTTGATCTCACACAGGTATATGAACATGCCAAAGATATTAATTGCTGAACATTAAACATAGAGAGTAAAAGGGGTAAAGAAACAACAAGGAAATCAGCAGAGTTTACACTGGAACAGAGCGTCGGAGGGCTCCGACAATGGCACAGGCGGGCAGATCAAGTTATCCTGAAGCGAGAGGCGAGAGAAGGCCTCGGATCTGTTGGAGGTGCGCTGGCCATGGAGGTCAAATGCAGACGAGGGAGGACCTGGGGAAAGTATCAGAAGGGGGCGGGCGGGGGTGGGGAGAGACGAAGTGGGCAAACGAACACCGCTTGTTTCAAGTGCGCATTCGCATTGGCGTTCTTCTTTATGGGGAGGAGAAGACAGAGGTGGGAGTTGCTTCCAAGTGTGGGATGACTGCAGTGGACTCCCAATGACGCGTCCATTAGTGGCCTCGCGGATGGGACTCGGGGATGGCGCCATGCCGCCATCACGTCACCTTACATCGCATGTACCATAACGATCACTCCTGCAATGATCTGTATCCCATGCCATGCATGGCCTTCCACCAAATGGAAAGAAGAGTTAAATTGATTTATAAGAACTCGGTAAATATACTATCATTAATTTAAATTTAAATGTTTTGGGATCAATCAGTACGTCTATCTAATAATTCATGACTCACATCATGTCATTCAATAACGAATCTCTCACTTGATTTTGATGTGACCGGAGACACATAGCTCAAATGATGAGGGCATGCCCTCCAAATAGCATCCCCATCCAATGGAAGGTGGTTTTGAAGATCCCCATTCCTGCCATGGTGATAGTTAGTGAGATATAGAGGACATTCCAACAGTTGTAGCATATAATACCTTGAAATCAGGGATCTTTAGGACCTACCATGATAAAAATACAAGGATTTCTAATTCAATGAAGGAGATGTGATATATTGTTTTATGATTGAAGAATGACTCTTTGAGTACAAATTGTTACAAGTTTAGCTTTAGTTTTAATGGAAAACTATTTTTTATCTAATCGAATATAGATATGTATCGTGTCGATTGTAATATTTTTTTATTTCTTATACTTCTTATATCTAAATGTAATAATGAATATTTAGGACCTAAGGTTAGTTTGTCGTTGTAATGATATCATAGAGGCACTTCAGCGTAAAGACATATCATATTGAAACTTTCTATCTTTTGATTGCTTAAATTTTACAATATTCATCTTTATATTTTACAGTACTTATTAAGTATTTGTTTAAATATATCTTTTTATGACATCTTGATGTTCGACGGAGCGATGATGATAGTTTGCTCATATATTCATGTATTTTCTAATATGTTTTCTCTTTCGTGAGTTCTTAAGAGACTCTATAGGTTACATGGATATTAATATTTTATAGGCAAATATGCAAAAGTATTATACGACTTAAGAAAAAATAATTAACTAACAGAAAGTCCATAGTATTAATATTTTTTTATTATTCAATTTTATTGGAGAGATCAACAACATTATGAGTCACATTAAGAGCCACAAATTTCTTTTCATCGATCCTAATAAAAATTATTTAGATCTATAGAACCTTTTCAAAAATGTCAATATCATAATAATCAATTTTGTCTTATCTATCAACAACTCATAATCATATACAAATATAAGCATTTTCCGTTTTATCTTTTTCTCTTAATTATATACCATCATTTCATTTTATCTCTGCATGTGTTATTTTGTTCATAAATATATTAATCCATAAATGTTATTTTTATGTCTTCCTAACATTATAATAATAGAAGATATTTCTGTAATCATTCATCAAAGTTGTCTCAAAGGCTACCATCCTTTGAGCATGCCAACACAAATCCCGTGAACTCCATGAGAAGAGGATGAATCCAGTCTCATCACCTGTTTCATGCCCATCCACCATCTATGAATCTTCTAATCGAACTATGTATGATAAACAATAATCCAAAAGAAAGATGCTTTTGCTCGCATCACCTACTTAAACACTCCTTTAAACAAAAGTTGGATCATCTTATCAGACAGCGAAACCACATCACATCATCGAACAAAGCTGACGACAGCCAGTATTATTCACTGGGAGTCCATCCATTAATGAGCTTGCGATATCATAATACATGTATGAATCAGCGTACGTGGTTGAGATGGTATATATATCCTTGCCAAAGGATCAAATACTTACCAGCAATGTGCATCAAACACTTGTAATCTGCATTGCAATGGTGTATATGTTTCTTGTTCTTCAATTACTTTGGCATGTGATCAAACACAAGCATTAATTTGTTTCACATGATTACAAGTGGAGAATAATGTCTAGTAGATGTATTAAGGTAGCAGCAGATAGCATAGCATAGCATAGACCTACCCACCCGTGATCGTTTAGCAGCTTGGAATCACGTAAAGGATACAAAAGGGGTCTGAGAGAGAGAGAGAGAGAGAGAGAGAGGGAAGGAAGCAATTGCTCCGCTGTTGGAAAGCTACGTCTCTCTTGGACGTGCTCCCTCGTCTCCAAAGCTAATGACATATATGAGCTGAGTCGTATCCTTTGGCGGCAAGCTAATAAGAATGAAGCTTCACCATCAACCTTGCTTGCTTGTAATGTCGAACACCATCCTGTAATGACTTCGACTGGTGCATCGATGGGAGATGAGGATGACAGGATCCAGCCGCCGGAGAAATCCTGGCCGATCATCTTCGGTGATCCCGTCTGTTTCTTCCAATCACATAATAATACTCGTGAGAAAGAGAGAAGCATTGCATTTGGAAGGTCTACAAAAGGCAACCAAAAACAAAGGCAATATACATAATCTTTGGTTTCAGAATTCTTTACATACTTATCCTTTCGAAATTAGTCCTTTTTCAATTTTAATATGTCATATATATATATATATATATAATTTTGTCATAATAAAAAAAAGGGATTGGTTGACTCAAATCCACGTAGGTTTGGGTAGAGCTTTGCAAAAGAGAAGAAGAACATGTGAACTATGGGCTACGGAGAGTCCCCTTCAAAATGTTTGTGTATCGGTACGTTATTATTGTTCCATAATCAAACAAAAAAACAGTAAAAGGTCGGCGATAATGGGACCGGGTGGGTCCCAATGGGGGATGAGTGAACCCACAAAGGGACACGTAAAGCACCTCCGACGTAGTGCTCATCCGTTCGTTGTTTTCTTCTGTTGTTTGAATTGAATGAACGAACAAGTGGAATGGCCAATATGACTGGGAGAGCTCTCGAGACGATCGTCATGGCGAGAAGCAATCAAGGAGGTCGTTGCGTGGTGAAGTCTGCAAAGACGATGTGACGCTGCAGTCGCCGACAGTTCGGGTCGCGATTGGGTCGAGTCAAGATGGACTTGTCCTACCTGCTGAGGGTAGGGTGGTTCGATCGAGTCGACTGGAATGTTTCGAGTCTGTGTAGGGAGTAGAATCCATTGCAGAGTGATGGTTTAAATCCAAATGGAATGAGTCATGGTAATTAAAGAGGGACTATATAAAGAAGACAGAATGAACACAGACTTCAAAGTGCATCTATCATTTGTGCGATCGAAGATGGCTGTATTATTATTATTATTTTCATAAAGAATGAATGAAAATGATTGTATTATTATTATTTTTCGTAAATAATAAATGATAAGGATGAGACTTATGTATAAATATTTCCCTTTTTTTTTTTGGCATAAAAAAGGGAGACTACTTCTCCATCTATTCTCATGGTGCAGAACAAACTCAATGATTTCTTGCAACATGATGAAAGGTGTAGAAGATACTCGATTTGGGGTTTAAATCCAACATCACACAATGCAACAAGGCCTTTCAATGATTTATGCTATCTCAGTGTTGATCACTCACATCATGCCCAAAAAAAACAATCACCTCTTACAGCGAGTCACAGATTGCAATTACAAGCTGAAAAGAATGAAAAAAAAAGGAGGGGTGGGGTTACGAAGTGCCAATTTCTCTGTTCAAGTAGTCCACAAACATCCTCTTTGCGCTATCTGCATCTAATGGTGGTGGAGGGCCGCTGAGGCTGGACTGCCCTGTGAGCTTAATGAAGGTGCGCCGTAGGCTTCTGAGCTCCGGCAGCCCGATTGGCCTTTGAATGTTTATGTAGATTGGCAGTCAAGGATTTTGCTTATCAGCAATATTATGCTCAAAGTAAATGATATAAAACCATTTAAGCAAATCTAAGATTAGGTTACCAATGTCTTCTGCTGGTAACTGTTGAAACCTCATGTAAAAGATCAAAGGGCCTTTTGTTAGAAGAAGAGCTTGTGATGCAATCTGATTTCATTCGAATCACATGTGGTTCACTTTCAAGAATTTAACACACCCCCCATTACCCATTATGACATTTATGACAGACTCTAAATGTGATACTAAAATGAGATGCAAGTATTTGAGAGGATATGAATCCAGTCTCCATTTCAATTGTATGCGCATGATAGAACCACCAATCCTATGCTGATTTCGTGATGTGCCAATGTAGCATCCGTGGTGCCATATCAAGTGATGCCATGTAGCAAACTGCCTAAACAAATACATCCATCTATTTTTTTTTTCGAGTTTTTGATACTGTAATGACATCCCTGTGTGAAATTAAATGAGAATATCTACAGCAATTTCATCATGACCTAATATTTAATGTGTGATAGGTATCAGAATTCCTTTTATGCATTTTTCAAGTGAGCCTTAGGTGAATAAACTGAAATAACGCTATATCACAGGTGAATGTTCTATGACAAAAAAAAAAGAAACAAATATCAGTATAATAAACTGAAAATGTATGCAATTTAATTAGATGGCAAAAGTCGAGCTTGAGACTAATATCTTGGCTGACCATTAAGCTACTAAAACTCCATTTAGCTTCCAAGAAAAAGGATATGGTGGGTAAATGTTGGCCAAGAGATATCCTATTGACAGCTCCTGCAAGACCTTGAGATTGCGCTTCAACAATCATGTTGATCACCTCCTGTAAAAGAAACAAAAGTGTACATCAACAATTTCTAACAGCCCCTAGAAAAGAGAGATCATATTACAAACAGTACCTGTGTTGCTCTGTCCATCTCGTAAAGGGAATTGGCATCTGTTGTATGTGCCTAAAAGATTTGATGGAATCAGAAAGAATAGTTATCCAACAAAGAAAATAAAACAAAAAGGTATAAAGACATGCTTGTAAAATTTCAGAATCTCCAGGGGAGAAAATGGAAGAGTTCACTACCCAAAGTGCACTATTGATTTGTCAAATTCAAATTCATAATCTCTCTTACTTAAAAGGCTTAATGTCCTCATCAATGAGAACCAACACATACTACATAGCTTATTATCAATCCCTAGAAGGCAGCATATGAGACCCCTGTCCAGATTACCACAGGGCCGAAACAACCTAATCTCATGTTATCAACAGTAAACCCACTTAACCCCATATAATAATCCAATCCATCTTCAACTCCCTATGTGAGTATCAAGCTTCAAATAGCTACTACCTCTCCCAGAATAACTTAAATTACTGTAGATATTCATGTTCAGGTATCAAGATAATCAAAACAAATAATGGTGAGGATTAAAAGAAAAAGCCTCATGTTAATTTACTAGCATGATTTGATAAATATCATGTATCAACATAAATGTACTTACAGTCTGAGTAGCAATAGTAGGCTGAAGGACTCTAACATCTCGGGATTTTGAATCAACCTTTTTTGTGAGGTAGGATACAGCATCAGCAATTACCGGAGAAGACTCTCTTATTTCATCTTACAGGAAGAGACAATAGATATTTTTTAGAAAAAGACTGGTGTTTCTCAAGACAAAATAAAAATAGTGACAATTAGGTGGCTTGACATGTTTTAATCCATAGTTGCAACAACTTGATTCCTGAGTATCACATTAGTTATTTTTCGTAGTCAAGTAATTTATTAACTTGAGACTGAATAAAAAAGAACCTTTTAGATTTTTAACAATTTTAACTGCGAGATCTAGTATAAAGGAACTAAGAGTATTACAAGTTAAAAATTAAAAGAAAAAACTGCAACAAAAATTTACATAATCAATTAGGTTCTTGTCCTTTATCTTAGTTGCCAATGTCAACTACTCTTCACGAGAAACAATACAAAGAAAAGATAGCAAGAAATAAATCTCTGTTGCCTAATCAATAGATTTTTTTGGCTATCTAAAAGAATAAAAAAAGGTACAAACTCTTCTTCCAGTTTAGTAGACTTCACCCATAAAAATTATTGTCATGCCTAAATCATAATTGTTGAATATAAATACTTGGCTACGACTTACATTTAGGATTAACTAAATGCTCGAGAAGCTTTCAATGTCATGGCATGACATACTAAGCACAAATACAAGTGCTGGTTACCTTTAGATGGAAATAATTCAAAAAGTGGAGAATCCCAGCGGTTCCTTCTGTCTGGTTTCTCAAATCTCCGCACTAAATCCTCAAATCTGTTAAGGACACATTCATCATATAGTTGTCATTCTTTTCTGAGCAAGAGAACAGCTGATAAAAGGATTCAAAAAAATAAGATGGTATTGTCAATAGTTTTGTAGTTTTAGATGAGGCAAGATATTGTTTTGCATAACCAAATATGAAATTGAGACAATTCATCCGACAAAATAACTTCCAAAAGATTTTCAAAGAACATTTTTACTCACAGGGTAAGTCGAAGAAATGTATCTGATGTAGGATGGAATACCAAGATAAGTGATCGCAAAGCAAAACTGAAAAGGAAGAGAAATTCCCCACTTACATTTTTGTGTCATATGAAGATTCTCCCATTTCCCCACGCTTTCTGTTCCATTCCCGACAGCTATCTTCGTCAGTGTCACAAAACACCTGAAACATGACTTGATAATGATAAAGGCATAATCTTTCATCTAAATGTTAATCTACAGCAATAGAAAACAACACTGATCATCACACTTAGATCAGCCTTCTGCTATATAGAAAATTCCAATCTTAGTTGTATAATAATGAAGTCACTTAGAGAAGCAGCGTAGATAATTAATTACCACACAGTATCTTATCCCAGAAGCTCGAGCAAGGCACCATAACTCATATCTATAACCCTGCATGTTGCATGTATAAAAGAGTGGATACAGAGTATTCATTTAGAAAAGACTACAAATGCATAAGAAATAGTAAGGTATTCAAAAACAGGTAACAAAACAATCCCAAAAAAAAGAAAACAATATATCCATCAACGAAAATGGCAACCCGTTCATAGAATTCACTCTAATGTTTTTACATGAACAGGTTGATTCACATTAGGAATCATGATCGAGATTAAGCACTTGCAAATGATGCATAAAATTCTGCTCACAGTTCAGTCAGTCCAAAAACTTCATTATGCATAGAACTTCTCAATACCAACAATAAAATGAAGTTTCCTACCAACTAAGCAAAATAAAAAGAAAAGTACAAGAACTTAAAAGAAAATCAAATATGATGTGACAATCATAAACCACCAACTTTCTTGAAGGAAAAAAAAATGATCTTATCATGCTTCACTATGTCGAAAATTTTAAATAATGTAAAAGGGAAAAAGAGTTCATTGAGAACTCTTTCTTCACCCCCATGAGTTAATCCTATTTACTTGAGCAAGTTAAAAGCTACTAGGACTTCACTGCATGTGTATCCAGTGATTAAAAAAAGTACAGAATTTTGTTCCACCAGTTGATTAAGAAGTCAAATACCTGACTCAGTTGCAGTCTATACTCTCTAGTTGAATAATAAAAGCAGACACCAAATGGCTTAAATGAAATATATATCAAATCGAATAAATTAATTAACCCATCCAACTGAAGCCAGATGCACACAAGAAATGGTCACACTGCTTGATGAAACCAAATTGATTTACCCAATAAAATGGCCACTGACTTAGTGAAACCAAATTGACTAGATCTTACAAAATACCTGACTGCACCAGTACTTTGTCTAATTCAAACACTGCAAGACTCACTGAATTAAAGCGGACATCAGAATTTTAAAAGAAAATATTGCTGTCCAAAAGGAGGTAAATTAGGAAACTGAGGGAGCACCGGGGACCCACTGAATTAAATCGGCCATCAGTATTTAGAAAATATATATAATGTTGTCCTAAGGGGAAGAAAATTAGCAAGAACAAGGAGCTAAGATCTTAGGATACCCAGAATTAGGGTGCTCGAATTTAAGTTCATTTTTCTTGAAAACTTGTCATGTCTCATTAAATGTTCCTGCAATTTCAGCTCTTGAAAATATTGCCAATCTGGTGACCATATAATTTTCTCACATGCACCATGCCACCATGCTAGCATAAATACTTCTTAATAAACCTGTGAATATATAGATTGTATAGCACAATTTAGTACAAATGAACTGATGTCTAGATCTAGACATTTCACATGCTAGATAAAATCAATAAACTCAACAAATCCAGACATGATTGACTTTACAAAAATGTGTTATCAATACTGACAATTAAAATGAAATAAGAAATGCCATATTTCTCACCTTAATGTTGTTCAAAGAGTCCACAATGATAATGCTGCTTTTAGATAATGATCTATCAACTTCTGATCTAAGCACACCCCTCAAGTTTTTCTCCATGGGCATATCTACCAAATAAACACAATAAGCACGAAATTAAGGAAACAAAATTCTGAGGCAGCCATAAATACAAGTCATATGGCATCAAGTTTATTCTTCCCATCAAAATTTACACTTGTAGACACTCAACAACAGCAGGGTACTATTTATTTTTTACTGGATATACAACATTACAGCTTATAGTTCACCTGCATTCTTTTACTTTTTGCCACACCCGGACAATGTTTTAGGAGGCACTATGGAACCAGCCGTTGCATTATTAAGCAATCAAAATTGAAAATTGAAAGTCCAAAACGCCCAATGTTGAATCAGTAAAAAGTAACAACTTTAAGAAATCCTAAAGCGTGAGAATAACCAATCAAACACCGTTCCATCCACGCTTGCTCTTCAGGTCACACCTCTCTATTCACGAACACAATTTGCAAGAGGGTTGCACACCCAAAAATATAGGGGCAGACCAACAACCTCTGTAATCTCTCGTACTTGTCTCTTTATAACCATTCTTTAACCAATCAACGGACTCAAATTGTGTTTCACACCAGTTCTCCATCACAACGTATGACCATATATTACTCCTTTTAATAACAAACCAACTGAATTTTCAGCTTGCAAGTGAAGAACAAGAAGTAATCCATGTAAGTTATGTAACAACAGGTCCAATTAGTAAATGCACGTGAAAGTTCGACTTAATTTTTTGGGCAAATTTCTTTCTTTCTCGAAAAAATATATACAAAAGGATTAAAAAAACTCCTTTTGTAATACATAATCCAAATTACTCGTAAGGGAGACATACATGAAAGATGCAATCACAAGAGCGGTGGGAGAGAGTACCAGCATAGCTTTGGTTGCGGCCAAGGTGGAGGGAGGACTCGTCGATGATCCTGACCGTGGGTTTCGGATCCACGGCCTGGAGAGCGTCGGCGAGGCAGGCCGCGGCCGTCGACTTTCCGCTGCAAGGCTGCCCGCAGATCACCACGAGAGCCATCCAAGACCAACAACGAACCCTAAGAGCAGGAACTCCGATCAAAGAGGATTCAATACCGTAAGGCCCAACTGGATATGCCCCACCAACAGCGAATCTGATTCAAATAAATCGAAGGAAAAGGGTCGGACAGGGGACGGAAGTTCGAGCGATGGCGGCGGCACGAGAGAAGCGATGCGACCGACTATGGATTCGGGCCTCGGGCCGCAATTTATGTTGGCTTTGCTGCTTCACAACTTTAAGATCTAAAATTATAGAAGGATACAAAGCTATATATAACTAACTAAATAAATAAATATATTTATTTATTTATACATACATATACACATATATATATGCATATATATACATGTATACATACACACATAAATATATATATATATATATATATATATATATATATATATATATATATATGTATATATATACATACACACACACATAAAATAAATAAATAAATTTATATATAAATATTAAAAAAAATAAGTTTAAGGGTTTTTTTTCTTTGACGTCTAAGCAGTAAATTCTCTATTCATAAAAGAAAATACTTGTTTGTAAATCACATCATAATTTATAATGCATATTTTATAAGGCAAGTAACTTCCCAATCACTTTATGAATTTTAGATATGTCAATCATCTCAGTTGGTAAGGATTAGTGAAATCCAAAGGTCCAATCTCATCTTTTTGATCACTTATCTTCTTAAAATAAATTCATTAAAATGAAATAGAAGAATAATGTATAGTAATTATACTGTTTAGTGTTCAGTGCAACCGAGACTTGGTTGCTTGAACCCAATTGAAATCTGAATCCCAAGGATCTAAGATAAAATCATAGGTAGATTTTTAGGTCCAAGATATATGAACATCAGAATTTTTTTTGGACTCTTAACTTGCCTTCACAACAATTTTATATAAATGCTGCATTGTTTACTACCTATTCATTGTTTTGTATTTAAAATAATTGTCTTAATGGGATTTTTTTTTTTATGTTTCTACCTTTGTTCTCATTCTTGTTTTCTGTACACATTTTTCTTCTTTCCTTCTTCCACCTCATAGTATTTCTGTTATCTTTCTTAGTTTGCATGAAAATTTTCTTTTTCTTGAAAGTGATTGTGATATTAAAATGACATGAACTTGTTTTTGTTATACCTGATCATATTTTGCTACTATTTGTACATTCCTAGTCTTGCTCGATTGTTCTAGTTCTGTTCATGATCTTGAGGAATTCATTGGTAAATAAAAATAAAAAATTTCAATTCTTTTTCCACCCTATTTTGTTCAATTGGTCTGAATCATTGGAAGCCCTCGAGAGAAAATCTATGAAACATGACCAGAGGAACTTGTAAATTTGTTCTTACTGTAGCAAACTCAATGAAATTATCAAACAGTTTCAACATCCTATTTTGTTTGAGATCAGTGCAAGATCATTTTTTTTTGTGACCCTATTCTGTTCAAGTGTTCCAAATCAGTTCAAGCTCTTGAGGAAAATATATAGAAACTCATTGGAAAAACTTGTTGCTTTGATTTTAACTGCAGTAAAGTTTAGACCAGTTGAAAGTCCTTTTACCCATGATTGGAACTGCTTTTCTTAGGTGACTGTGTCAACTTTATGCTACTCTCCTCTTTGGAGTGGCAGGGAGACCATGAATGTGACCCACACATGCATGGCCTTGCAGGAAGACTGCAGCACAAGTGCCCTTTTCCTTTTCAATCATGCTTCTCCCCAATTTCTTAGTGAACTTTGCATCATGTTCTTCTAACTCTTGTCTCTCTTGTGACAATGATCCACAAGCTTTAGAGGTAAGATGAATATAATTGTTAGTCATGTCAATGATTTGCTGAAGAAAAAAAAATAGATTGACCTCTTGCTTTATTTTTTTTTCTTTTCCTTCTTGAATAATAAAGAACAGTTTCAGCTTTTGCTTTCAGTACAAGAAATTCTCATCTGAATCTGATGAGGATTTGGAGCTTTGTTGGCTGTCTTATCATGAGGACATGAGGTGGCAAAAGCTTTGATGTTCTTAGCTAGTCTATCCATTTGCTTTTCTTCTTAGCAAAAGAAGTTTACAAGCTTGAATGTGGAGATGTTGTTCTGAAATTGGTCAGCAATCTGTAATGTCTTTTCTTTTTTCCTCTCATTGGAAGTCAACTCTTCTGTCATGGTGCTCTAAACTACTAAAACATATCAAGTGAATGAACTCTTGGATATTGGATGTGTTTGGGTCAAACATTCTTAGGATTCCATCTTTTTTGTGCTACTTTTCAGATTTACAAGCTTTGTCCCCTTGTTTCATTTCTTCTCTTTCCCCCAGTTGATTGGCTATTCACCTGTGAGGATGCTTTGTATTCTTCTGAATCATTTCACATGGATTTGATGCAGGTAAAAAGAACCAGTGCTACAGAGATACATGGTTGGACTTTTCCTTTATGTCATGTTAATGGGGTTAACATGTTTTTTCCTCTTCCATATGGAAACAAAGGATGTGGAGTTACATTGAGGAAGGCATTGGTTGGAAGACTGAACACCACCACCCTTCTCTTCCAACTACAATGTTCATGTGTACTGCACAGAAGCAATCAAAACTTATTTTACAGAGGGAAAGTCACATCAGTTTCTCATAAACTCTTCCTTGAAATAAAAAATCCACAGGCATCCACTGACCTCTTGGACATGGTTATTGGCTTGTGGACAGTGGACCCCCGTTGCTTCCTTGTCTTCCTACTTCTGTTCTGATCAGACAACCTACCATTATAGCTGCTCTTGTTCTTATTCATAGATTATCCTTTCGAAGAAAATGATGTTTGCTCACTCACATGCTTTGGCAATTCCTTGTACCCTTCTTGGTTACTCCAAATGAATAATTTGGTCATTTGATTTCCTGTTTCTGACAAGGACTTAGGGCACTGCAACATGTATCATCATCATCATCATCATCCTGAATGAGAAAACATTCGGGGAATAGGATATCTTTTGGGTTTTTGCCGATCATGTGCACCTCTTTGAGTCTTTTTAGGTGATCCATTCCTTTCGTCTCCTGAATCATGGTACCTCTACCGATGCATGTCTGTAAGATCTCTCACCTCAGATCATTACTATCTCTCTCTCTCTCTCTCTCTCTCTTTCTCTCTTTCCTTCTTGTAGTGTCACTTTAGCTGTTACTATATGCTTTTTTGGTTGAGTTGAGTTGAGACTGTATGTGATCAATCATTCTTTTGCCAAACCCAAAGCATTATACACTAAACACTGATAGTTTTGTCCCATGCCTGCAGCCTTCCATCAGTGTTGAAATTTATATCTTGAGCTGCAGCTTTTCTTTTCCATAGTGGTGGTGGAAGTCTGTAGGATACTACTGCCTCTGATCTTTGTTTATCCCTTTACCCCACCATGACATTGCCTAAGCAATCTTTTGGAGTGCAGAATGGCTTTTAAAGTGACCAATCAATCCCCCCACACCCCCCCAGTCATGCCTGTGATCATCCATTGTCATTGCTCAGGAACAAAGTACTGTTTGTCATGAGAGGCAAGGAGGTTGTTGACTGGAGAGCATCAAAGGAGATTGGAGATAGCCAAATGCTTTCTTTTCTGTAGTCCATGGTAGCCAGTTTGAGAAGTGTTGATTGCAATCGAGTTCTGAGTTCAAGCATCTGACAGGTTTTTCTTTCTTTCTTTCTTTCCACTCTTTGCTTTTTTCCTTCTTGCCAGTTCATATTCATTTCTGTTCAATCAAATCAATGTGGAAGTCTGCTTCTTGTTTGCCACTCACCTTTCAAACCATTGCAATCATCATTTGCTGGAGCATTTGCAGCTTGTTCACAGATTGAAACTTCCTCTCCATCATCACCAAACCACAGTTCTTCACAATGATGTTGTTTGTAGAAGCAATTTGGGTTTCATACATCAGAAAGGAAGTTTCAGCTTGTGTTTCTGTATTTCTGCTGCTTCAGAGATACTTCCATAATATACTTGTTTGAACTGACTTGAAAGTTCTGCACGATCTGATAGGAACGATTTTAGCTAACTTGGAAAACTGAATGAAAATTTACACTTGCATATCAGTTGTTATCAAATGAAATCAATTAGTACTCCAATCTGTGATCTATTACAGAAGCCAATGCAAATGTTGAGACTATGATCCATGTTCTATCTGAGTGGATGCTACATTTCCTTCTTCTGTTCAGATGTCATGTTTTCTCCATTCTTTCTTCAACTTGTTTACAACGTAGCATCTCCAGATGCATTTGGCAGTGATCTAAACTATACTGCTCAATTAATAGATGAGACAAATGCACTTGTATGGCATGCTGTATCATATCCCTGAGGTGAAGAACAATGCAGGATCAAGGTTCACCATTCCCAATAATTCTTCTTGTATACTGATGGTTATTTAAGGCAATAGATCCTCCCTTCTTGTCACATTCTTTACATCCTGCAAAATCAATTATATCATTCAAAGCACTTGCAGGTGATAAAGATTAAGCTATGGATCAGACTGATATGTAGCTGAGTTTTCTTGTTACGTACCTCCTTCCTCATGCCATCTCTTGTCTGAGATATGACTTCACATGTGCTGGTGTGCAGGGAGAAGTTGCCATGAATAGTTTTGGAGAGAGGCCACAGACATGGAGTGGAGACTCTGTCTCTACTCCATCAGAACTAGCTCACGGCAGGGATGGCTCTTGGAAGGACCTAGGAACATCGATGAGCGCGATCTCATTCGGTTTAGCTGCAACCGCAATCCTGATCTCCATGTTCCTCTTCATGGCGATATTTGAGCATCTGATCAAGCCAAGGGCATCTCTTCTAAGTTCTCGGCACAGTGCAACAGAATCCTCAGAGATGAGCCAACCACATGCTCAGGTTCACTTGCAGAAGTTTCAGCATCCAGTAGCAGTAAGACTTCATTATAGTTCTGCAATACTTTCGATGAACTCTATGAGGCTCCATCTGCAGCTAAGTTTCTTATAGCTCAATACAATATCATTTGGCAATGGCAGGTTGGAACTCAGTACACAGCTGATTTCTCTGTGTTAATGCCGGGCCAGCAGTATCCTACCTTCATTGCTCAACCTGCTCCTTTTCCTTGCCCAAGAGAAGGGATTCAATGGCCACCCCATGATCCTCACATATCCTTCATGTAAATACAGGTTTTGTCTGTAATGGAATCTGCTCTCTTGGATGCAATTAAACTTTTCTTTCAGGCCAAACAATAAAAGGAAGGCTTGTTTATATCAGTTGTCACTATAACCCTTCTTAACAGTCCAGTGACATACAATATCTTGGCAACATTTGCCAGCTCCTGATCAGATTATCCTGTTTACTGCTACAAACCATTTGATGGGAACATATTCCATATTGAAACAATACATAATCTGAAAACATAATCCTTATGATTCTAGCAATAGGAAGATCATCTACTTTAACTGCAGAAAAAACCACTCTACATTAAAGCCCAACTGTGAAGAGCAATGTAGCTCGCGAAAAGCTTGTAGCAAGTCTCAGAGGATGATAATAATTTGAAGCAAATGTAACAAAATCTTATGCAAGTCAATTGAAAACTTCTGAATGGATATTTGAGGTTCCATTTCAAATTTCATTCAGAAAATAAATTCCACATCAAATGACAAACTTCTAATTTTTCAAACAAAAAAAGGACAAGTTTATCTTTCCCTTACAAGATTTTGATTATCCTAACAAATCAGGACAAAATCATGCTTCTCATTTCTTTAGTTCAGTCGTGCTTTCAAAGTTGGTTCAGCAGTAGATCATCTGACTGCAAGAAGATGCGAATGGATGAATTTGCAATTATATGAGCTATCTCGTCTGCAGCTTCAATCTGTCTTAGAGCAAGAAATGCAATTGCTTGACCTAGAAGCTAGTCCTCTTGGCCTCTTTCTGTTAGCAGGAGAAAGGAGAATGAGAGTAACCATGTTTCTATGCATTTGTAGAAAATCTCAATGTAAAGCTGCTTCAAACAGACTTGAAGTTGCTTACTTTTATAGTCCATCTATTTTATAAGACTAGCAAACTGGAGATTATTAATCATCTTCTCTCTAGAGAATGTTGAATTGGCTAGTGTGTCAGAGCAGATGAACTGCAAATGCCAAAGCCAAGGCACCTCAGTTATGAAAGCTGCGAGATACTGCTCATGCTGATAACAGCACTATTTTTATCTTTTTCTGCCTTTTCAACAATGAACTCAGCACACTCTGCTTCCTGTGCAGCAACCTGCTTAAGTTTGATTGCATTAGTTAACTCCTTCACAAAGATCAAGCTTGTTATGGAAATATCATCCAAAGCAATGTTGAAGTTTCTGGCTCTCTCAGTCAATATCTTTTGTATTTCCTGACTCACAGCCTATCACATGTAGACATTCCTCAATTGACATCCTAATGCTGAGTAATTTCGGAGTAAGTGGTCTTGTCAAGGGCAATGACGTTCCTCATTATAACTCTTAGCATTATAATTTTGGAGCCTTTATTCACGTTCCTCAATAGTTATAATGCCAAGGGCTTGTCTTACAGGAAGTGGTCCTCAGCTTGAAAAAAAATTCCCTATTTGCAAGTTAATTTTGGAGAAAGACCATACGCTCACAACACAAGCTCGAACTTGGTAAACTTATTTAGATAATTCAGAGGAATAAAAACCAGACAAATAGATTAAAATCCACAAGGAGCTATCCACATTACATGAATAGCTATTAGATTATGAATAGGAGAGGATACAAACTGCTTAAGTTTCATTTTTGTCTCTCCAATCATGAATAGGAGAAGCTGCAGATGATCTAGGTCAGCAAACTGACTTGCATAAAAGGGAGGAAAAAAGATATTTAATTAAATTTACATCTAATATATGAGGAAGATCAATTCACAATTATTGGCAGATAATTAACAATGAAAAATCGTTTCTAAAATAATGATATGGATGTGTGTTTGCTTGTAAAACGAGACATAGAAGATGTAAAGTCATGCTGGTGACACTAAGTTATGAAAACAAAGTATGATGTTTCCTTCCAAAAAAAAGTTTAGCAATCAAGTAAAAGTATCATGACCCAACTTGTTTCCAGGCAAAAGGGCCGCTGAACGTTTGCCCACTATATTAGATCAATAAAATAAAAAAAAAATACATTATTTCTATTACAAAAAGAAAGTTACTGAAAAAGGAGAGTTACCATTTGAAGATCACGATTCCCTGAAGTACTCTCTACCAGATGAAGAAGGGTACGAACATCATAAATGATTGGCCTTTTAAACCATGGAATCATTTAATGTGTTTCCTCAGGATAGACATGTATTGAAGCTTTGTGTTATATGAAAGCAAAGATCACATTCAATGCAGAAAAACTGATAAAAAATACCTATAGAACTACAGATTAAAATTAATCCTTATACGCGGTCTTAATACCAGACCTGACCACGTAATTTCTACTGTACTTACAGATTCCTTTGAATCTGTTTGAACATGGTAGATTCCTACAATGTATCATCGACAAAGTGATGCCTGATGTCCTCGTGCCTTCAGACCGACAAAGTGATTCCTACAATGTATCATCAATACATGCTCTAACATATTATAACAAGAAAACATTCTTTAGGGGTTATCAAAGACGCACTTAAAATCTACTATATTCGTGTGATTGGGTAAATGATTTGACCTTGTCCTTGCAATGCCCTGGATGCAATTGAAGACGATGGCGCGGTGACCACCCTCGACATTGTAGAGGAGGTTATTGAGAGCAGCATAGACAGCCTTCACCAGCGTCCCAGCTGCGGGACCTTGACGTTTCTAAAGCTCATCGTTTCCTCTCCTTCCTTCGGAACCCGAATAACACTGGAGACGGGACGACGACAAACCACCAGTAAAGCCAAGAAATGGAGTTCGAAGTCGATCGAGGAAGAGAAAGAGGGCGCTCACAGTCGACGGTGGCGGCGATTGCAGCAGCCGAAGAAGGAAATTAGGACCAATTAATTCAAAATTAACCCTGTTTTCTCTTCAGCATCAAATAATGAACCCTTACCCGACTCCAAATGCGGGTTCGAATCCGATAATTCTGGAAATCGTGGTTTGATATCCGATCCTTTGTACCAGCTATCGGATCCGGGATCTATATCCGCCTGCTAGCTTATAGGATCTAAATTTGGGGTTCACACCCGAAATTCCAAGGCACTAATCAGGTAAACTTCCTTTTCTTTACAGTAAAGCATCCGAGAAGAAAAAGATGATTGCTTGAAGAACAAATCAGTTGTTACACTACTGAAACCTAATCCAACCAGAAAACATGTCCAAATTTGGCCGAAAGACAAATCTTCCACAATAATTGTAAGTGTGACTTCAGACAACTATTTCTTCCTATCAAACAACAAATGTAGACAAGAAACTAGAAGAGATTCTATAACAAGGAATTACATAGTATACTTACTGCCTCCAATCAACAAGAAAATTTGGCAAGTGTAATTTCTGTTGACTATTTTTTCACATCAAACAACAATTCTAGACCAAGAAACTTATAGAGAATGCCCACAAAAAGCATCTAGATATTTATCACTCTACTTTGAAGATTTAGAACAGAATTCTACCGGTCAGAAAGTAGCTCTGTGTTAGCAACAGCCAACAACTCTCTGAAGGATATATTATGGTTGCATATTCTGTGCAGTGATGGACCATTAGTTGAATAGGATGTGGAGAGACAATTGACTCATTGTTTATCCTCAAACTCTCTCCGAATAACTTCTAGCAGAATCTCGTTCCAGGTATCAATCGGCCCAGGCATGCACCAATGCAGACAATCCTGCGGTGGGGGCTCCCCGTTGGGTCCCCTTTTAGTGATCTTTTTCGGATCAGGACTCCTGTATGGACCTGGATGCCCATCAGGCCTGTATCCAAACGGCTCGGTTATGTCCATCAATCTCAACTTTGAACCAGCTCTGGCCCTTTTCACTGCCCGCTCGAAGCCACTAACCTGCTTCTCATGCATCACATCAGTAAAACCATTTCTTACTACTGTGCTCACAGGCCTCACCTTTCCTGTGCATGAACCTCCAGTATTCCAAGCTCCACCCTCATAATGATCCGGTGAATAGGAGCGAACAATAGCTAGACCTGTGAAGTTTGGATGAGAGGCAATGGCGGTCAGGCAGCTCTCGACTGATACACCAAAAGCCTCAATGTTGTTAATCTGCATCTTCCCTGCTTTCTTAGGCCACCAGAGTTGTCCCCCAACAAGTGTGCCGTTGAGGATATAGGCAGATTGCTTCGCAAACCAGTGCCCCGACGAAAGGACTACCACATCAAATTTTGGGAGATATTCCATGAAATCCTCATCTGGAAGGTCCAGATGAACCTTCACAACACTATCTGGGACAGACTGGAAGGTCTCAGAGGTTTTGTGGACAAGCCACGATGACCATATCCTGATGATAGTAGTGGAGGTCGATCTGAAGTACCATCGCTGCATCCTTCGGTTGCCTCGGTTCTTGGGAGCTTCTACCTATAAAGGTGCATAAAACATTAAATACATGACCTAAACTTCCTGGTATCATTAAATAATTAGAAAAATAAATACCAACCAGTACCAATCTATATGATAAATTCAACCGCTAATATTGGTTGGTACCCGTATTTTATGCCTATGTTCAGCATTCAAGTGCAGCTCAGGAAGTCAGACTTCAGTTATAATGACACTTTCACAAAACCTTACAAACACTAAAGATCCATGAGATTGTCCTTTTGGTTTCTAGCAAAATTCAACTCAGCTCATTATCACATTATATCTTTGTAGTTGGTATTTTCTTTCATGTTCAATCAGCATGTCCTAGATGGCCACAATCATATATGGTGATTTAATTGATTTTGATTCTAAGTATATATGTTATGACTCGAGCTTGATGGGCTAACTGGCCTATCAACTTTGTTTGCTCTAAACTCCTGACCAAAATACTTAAGCTGAAGTTAGTAGTAATACACTCATCAGATCCTTATAAATCAATCTTAGTATTGTCCATTTCCGATGTGGGACTAATTGAGAGTGTTACAATATATTAGTTAACTAAAGAAGTCTACAGAAGCTGGGACCCTTACCCTAATAAAGTTCTCAAATAAGGTTCTTACTTATAGCACTATTGTTAATTGAATACAAGTTGGAACAACCAGGTGGACTATTTCCTCTATGTTCCTGTATACTACCTATACTCGATTTAGTCTCATATTTTGCAACTTTGTGGACCTTCAGTTATCAAATCTACAAAATAAATATGAAGCCAACAAAATGGGGCAAAGTAGTTGCTTAGTGCTTCTCATCAACAGAATATCAGTCTATTCAGCAAGACAATTCAGGGTAAGGTAGCTTACCTGCCATAGAATGCAAAGCATGGATTCCATCTGATTTCTAGCAACAGAATCCCCAACAAAAGCTAGTGTTTTGCCCCTCATTAACTCCAAGAATTTCCTTGCATCAAAGCGTGGAAGGTTGCAGCGTTCAGGTTTCCATCTCCAGTTCTCATAGTCCTTGTCAGGTCTCCCATTTCCCTGACAATTCTGCATCTGTGTAATCATAGGGCAAGTGTTGTTTGTATACAATGGCCCAGCAGGATCATAGATCCACTTGCCACTATAAAGATCACAACTCCCTAGACAATAAGAACATGCAAATTTAAGGTGCAGAAATAATTTATTTTAAAAAGCAAATAGTATGGAGGTAAGATAAAGCACTATTATGTACTAGAGATACATTTGTCTCTAAGCTTTAGTTAGGAATATGAAACCATCTTTATATTTATCATGCATGAAATGTATAGCATCACTTAGGAGTTAACTCAGAGTTATCAAAAGATAACTATGCACTTGGCACGTAGAGTTAAATGTTCACAGAACACCAGATAACGTCAAACGGTGTGCTTTTTATTTTTAAATATGTTAAGTAACTGCAATCATAATCCCAATAGACAACGAAGCATATTCATTAATTATACAAGACAAAAGGTAAATAAAGTCCCATTGCCAACATAGAAATACACACAATATTGTAATTGCAACTGACATTTTTAGCCAAAATGGTCACTTGACCATCCACAAATATCCAATGTATTTTTAGATGCTTCTTTCACTACAAACATGAAATCAAACTGTACTTTATTCCACTAACCTTGAACAAACTTGGTACAAAATACATAGTGCAACTCTTGGAACTTCCTCCACCACATCATTAATCCACATGGAAACAGATATGTGACACAGCTGTGACACGATATTGGCAGGCTTTTTATATTACTAGTCAATTTGCAGCTCAAAGTCTTCATACTTTTTCTCTGGGTTTTCTTTACATATAAATTAAAGGAAGTACCACAATCTCTTGATTATCCTCCCTCCTAATTATACTTTGGATAAGAACACAAACTAAATAAGGAGACTACATAAGACTTCCTGCACCATTTGCTTGCACTTTTACTAAGCAAAAAATGGGTATTAAGTTTAGGGCTCCAAAACATGCATATCATATTTAACAAAGAATCAGTTATATGAGCCAACAACAAATAGTGTCTCCATCAATTTTACTTTTTCCAGAAAATCTTGAAATGCTTTAATTCAGTAGCTAACATATTAATCTCTTACTTAATAAATTGTGATTAGCAGCATTCTGATAACCATATACAAGTGAAACACATTTCTTGCCTTCTAAGTTCTCAGGCAGCTAGAGTTCTGGATTCTTACCAGAAGGATTTAAAAACTTCACCAAGACAATACATATTTTGATGACCCTTGTCTTTCTTAATCCCCATCCTTATTTTCTTAGAGCATGTCATCAAAATATATGATCTTTATCAGGCATTGGTTCATATGCATCAATCTGCATGATGGGTTCATTTGCAAATGGGTCCAAAACTAAAGGTAAGGGCACCTAGTATAGTGAATCTCCATATAGCTTTACCAATCACATATACTCAATCTGACTGACAATCCACACACCTTGAAATATCCTTATTTCTTTAACAACTGAAAGAGGAGAGATAACATAAATGTTCAAGTATTCAATTTGAATCTCAGGACTTAAGAAGGCCCCATTATTCTATGTTATACAAAATTAAATAAGGCAGTCCTGTTAATAATTGAATCCACATGACCGCATCAATCAATTCATGTGCTCAAAGGGCCCAAGTATAACAAATTAAATGCATATTACAACGAATTTATAACCAAAAAATTCACAAACTTCTGATTCAAAATGTATAGGATCAGAACCAGAAGCATCAAATTATCCTACTTTGGATTTTTCAACATGAAGATATGAAATAATATACGTGTTATATAGAAAACTAAAACCAGAATTTCATTGCTTATCTAATTTGAACCATGATAATTTTTCTTTCCACAGTCATAAATTTATGACATTGAGGACTGCAATTTTCTTCAAAATTTCACAGGCTACCATGGTAACACATATATAAAGCTCTAACTCGATGCTTTGGATGATGTACATAGGCACTTGATGTTCTCAGTCAGGGAACAGCATGAAGAAATGTGTCTTCACCAATCTTTATAAATTACATCTCTCAACAGTATCAAAATTTTGTACTTCCTATTAGCCCCAGTATCATGTATAAGTCCTTTTCTATGTCGTCATTTTACCATTTCAATATCAATTTTCTTAGTTGAGATTGCAACAAAGATGGTGATTTAGGAGGGAAATTACAATATGAACAGCTTCATTTAAACTACCCATTTCAAAAACAAAAAAAGCCTCAGCAAATGTGCAAAACAGCTGAAATTTGAACAATGTTGTTTGGCACGAAGGCTGCAGTTATCATTATTGATTAACACCCAAAACTTAGAAAAAGAAGTGATACTTACTAGAATCAACCAACCTAGAGTCTGCAGGTTGAGATGAAGGGAGAACAACAGCTGATATATCATTTGAAGAGGCCAAGTCATCATCAGAGTTTCCCAAATCGCTCTTACCAGAACCATTGGAGATAGCTGGGGAAGGCAAGTCTCCAAATTGAATGACCATTGTTAGATTAGGAGCCTCGGAGGTACTCTCACTCTTCGTTACCATCGTCCCATCAGTAACTCCTTTAGTGGCATCTGCAAGACTACTCGGCACATCAGGGTCAGGTGAAGATTCCCTAGTGACAGTATCATTATGGCCATCTTGTGCATTTGGTGGCAATAACAGAACTTCAGTCTGACTATTTACAAGAGATACAGAATCGGGCATTCTATATCGATCCACACCTAACAAATAATCATGGAAGGCCGAACCGAGGAGAGATGGAACCAACACCAGTGAAGCGATGATAAGAAACAAAGCCAACCCTCCCACTGACGCAGTAATATTGAAAATGGAGCGCGCTGAAAAGTGTTTTGGAGACGACATAGTCATGATCCTAGCGAATCACCAACCTTAACAGCACCGAATTCTTTCCTACTCCTTAGAAAAGGATTCAGAATCCAAAGAAGATGCTATCTTATCTTCCCTGAAACCTACCCCTTTAGGAGATTCTTCTCGGAGAAGACAATGTAAGCACCTCTACTCCAAAAGTAAAATCCTCAACCTTGATAGCCAAATGCGACGAGGAAAATCTTCAGTTGTCTATCAAATCCCATCAAAAACAAATACAAAAATTTCAGATCTGTCAAAATATTAGCTCTAATCCCACAGCGACTCAAAAGGATTCCCACAACATGTCCTGATTCCGACTCTAACACAATAAAAGCACAGAAACCCCTCGGGTTCCCATAATCCTTACCAGAAGAGCGAATTCCTATCCAACAAGCCTATCACATCCCCCACAAAAGAACATCCCCCGGCGTTCCTATCGTCTTCTCAGCACGTGCACCAAATTCCAAGCAAAACGCAAGAACTCCCGAAAGAGACCAAAGCAACATAAAAATCTAACTCCAATTGCCTCAAATTCTAAAGCCCCCCTCTCAAAACGCCACCTTGAGATCCCCGATCCATCCGTACATGAATGCGACGGACTATGCGCGTTCTATCAACAAAAATTGTATAATTCCTCCCCGAAGGAACCACAAAAAGACGGGAAAAGACAGAGGAAAAGCTGGAAGACAGCGACGAGTCGCTTGTCGGAGAAACGATAGCGCAACAAGAAGCGATCCCACTCGAGAAATTAAAAGGCTTCCGCAACAACACGAGGGATCCCTTTTCTAGCTCTCCGAGCGATTTCATCCAAGGGGCCAGATAACAGCGCCGGACTTAGCCATCAGCCCTCGCCTTTTCTGGAAGAGCTATTAGCCGTCCGTTTCGGAAGAGGTCGCACGATGTTCTGGTCCAAGTTCGAGCACGGATCCTCTCCCGTTTGCTCATCTAAATCGTCCATTCCTCAAATCATCACGTCGAACGGTCTGTTTAAATCATCCTGTATTGTTTCCGTTGGAGAGGATCCTTCATCGATAGGAACGAGAGCAATCGTTGTACCAACCCGTTGCCACATCCGAGGTGACCGGTGAAGTAACGTGGGGCCCGCGGTTCCCGTCGGTAGAGGCACACAGCTGATCAGGGTAATTGAATGGGTTAACTAATATGTGGTCGGCAAAAAAAAGCGTTCACCAAAGAAAAAGTGCTTTACTTTTTGATTCCCATAAATGGTTTACCGAATAGTCCATCCTATTTGCCATACGGTGGAAGGTAATGCCTGCCCTACCGCTGCCTCCAATCACAAGACAGGTAGGTGAGGCCTTTTGGTTCCATGACTGCATTAATTTCGTTTGCACTTCCACCAGTACAGTACACTTGGCAAGCGTACCTCTCATGATCCCCCTCACTTCCAACTGCAACAACACTCGCTATTTAGGAGGTTGTCATGTGCATGAATACATTTATCCATGTCCGTCGGCATACAGATTAATGCATATGCGATTGAACCACTTACGATTTAGATGGACACTTGCATTAGATTTAGACGTTTGATAGTGACAACCCAATTTTGCTATTATGTACCGCTTAAAAAATAAATTTACTATTTATAATCCATTAATTATTATTCATATTCTTATTTTCACTCTTCATCACGCTTTCGATGTCAATAATAAAAAATATAAAAATAAATAAAATGAGAAAAAGAATAGAATGCGAAGAGTATTTACGTTTGTCCAGTGGACTTCACGGCTCATCGCTTACGAGGAGAAGAAAAGAATTATGATGAGATATTTATGTTCATTTACATCCAAATATCTTAGAAATATTAAAAAATTAAAAAAAAAATATTATATATAGTAAAAAAGGGACTGTCAATACAAATCTCATCTAGATAAAATTAGAGCTCACTATTTAAAGCCCGTTCTTATTATATATAGAGCTTACTATATAGTAAAAATATTTTACTATTTATAGCCCTTCTAATTTTATTTTTATCTTTTTATTTATTTTTTTCCTTCTTTACGATCTTCGGCTATACACCCTACTATCACAAGCTCTCTCCGTCGCCTAAGTATCCTATTATATAATTTATAAAGACTTGAAGCAATATCTTCTCGATTAATATAATTAAGTTAGAAGATGGCATCTTTTAAACTATTACGGAATATACATAACCTAAAAAATATTAAATTATTATGATAAATGTTAAAAATCTATTTCTAGCATCTTCTTCTTGATCTTCAATTCATCTCACTTTTATCATTTATTTTATTTTAATTATTTCATGTTCCCTCAAATGATTAAGAGGAGGAGGAAAAGAAATTAAAAAAATGAGTTGTAGATAAGGAGCGAAATATTTTATTATAATTAAATTATAAATCGAGAACATTTATGTCTATTTACAAATGCATTGCCAATAGATAATTTAAAAATATTTAAAGTTCTTGACATGAAATTATATATATACATATATTATTTATCTAAATTCTATCTCTAACTTTCTTTTTAAACAATGGGTTAGATTCGTCTATATGAAATCGATGATATCACTTTTATTGAGTTCTTTGCTATCCTAGACACATAACATGTCTAACCGCACATCAAAATCAGGATATCGTAGATATTCTTTCTTTCTTCTAAAAAACACATCTAACGTGCATTCGATGTTGAGATATTCATATCTTTCCATGCTGGTCCGGTAACATAGTGAGTGACAACGATATATTCTAAACTAATATATCGGTATTTTCAAAACTGGTATGTCGACACGATGATATCGATATCTTCCGACGTTATCCGTCGACGTGGATATATTTTACTGGGTGGAATGAGCATCGCCACATGACGTCATTCGATGGGATGGAATATTGTTCCTCGTCACCGAGTATCCGTCCAAACCATTAAAAAGGTTTAATATCTATTTTCTCTTTTTTCCGTCATGCCCAACAAGCCCCTATAGTGACCACGTGGCACCACGCGAATGACTCCAATTACTTGCTCTTCGAATCGCTATTGCCACTCGTAAGACCTGCGGCAGCGTCAGTTACGAGTCACGTAATCCAACACGAGCCAGCACATACGATCAAATAAAAACATTTTTGTGGGGCCCGCGTCGTTCGTCCGTTCACCACGCGGTGGGTGAGATGGTACGCGCCAGATTGGTCGAAAGGATTTCTCTCGCTCGAAGGTCCTCCTGCTGGTGCTCTGCTGCGTCAGCTCTATATAAGCAAGTGGCATCGTGGTCACGGAGATGGCGGGAGTGTTGTTAGGGCACGCAGTCCGGGTCTCTGCTCGCCGACTCCGAGGCTTCCCAGATCTCCCTCCTCGATTACTCCGTAGGTGAATCATTTTCGTATCGTGTCGATTTGTTTTGGTGTCGTGAGTCTCTCGATTGCTTGATTTGCCTGCATCCCACTTCGCTGTCGGGCCTGGGGAGTTAAAGAAGGGACCTAAAGTTTTATCGTAGCTGATTGGTTGATGATTGAGGGGTTTTGGATTTCAGAAGGTTAATGCCCGATTTCTTCTCCTGAGGTCCTTGCCAACCTGATTAGTATGAACCTAGATTGTATTCACTCTTTTAACTCATAAAAGAAAAGTAGCGTTGTATTAATGCTACTTTTGAAGAACTGTTGCTGGATCATCAAATTCAGTAATCCAAGCTGACTTTTGTCGGTCAACAGTTGACAAGGCATGATGGCTATTGACTGGGATTTGGGTAGCTGTTTCATTCGATTTGTTAAGTTGTTGTATGCTTAATTACCACTCACAAGGTTGTAAGACGTAGCGGGTGATTTAAATGTTGGTTGACATACCAGGTGCTTTAAACGCTGATCTTTGGACAGCCAGTTTGTGGTGCTGGTTTAGGTAATGGATTGACCATTGGTAAATCTCAAGGCTAGAGCGCCAAGGCCTTCTCTTTGACGACGTAGTGTTGTAAAGCCTTGTGCCAGCTTATAATTGACGACGTAGGGACTTTACAACTTCATATTTAGGTTCTGGAGACAACTAGATTAAAGCCTTGTGCCAGCTAATAATTAAGACAGTTTCAACTTTACCTTCTATAGGCCACACCTCTTATAATACTTAAAGGCTGATGCATCATCACCTAGCCTGATTACAGAACCATCTTGGTTTTTGGATTATTAATATGCAGGTTATTAAGGGTGCATTCCTGATTTTATCTGGTAAGAGAGGCTGTGGGAGAGAGAAGACAAGGGAGTTGGAATGAAACCATAATATTTAGCTAAGCCCAATAGATTATAATAGAATCACACAGTTTATCAATTTAGAATATTTAGGAGAGGGTTCATGCACATGAACTTAAATAGTGGAGTGGAAGAGTCGAATGAGTGAATCATATACATGCATTTTAGTGCTCTTGAATCATTACAGAATACCTCTGAAAGTTGCAACTATTGATAGGCCATTCTAAATTCTAAACCATGTAAACTAGAGCACATTTTTTTAAAGGTTAGCATCAGAATCTGGCTGTTATCTGAAGAAATTTTTGTAGCATTCTTAACCCTCCTAATTAAATTCGTGGTTGTCTGAATTGAACAAGGATGAGGATGCATTTTTCTATCTGGACTTTGTTCAGTTTTAATCTGGTAATCTACTAACTGGAATCTAGAATTTCATTGTAACTTGACTGGGGTAAAATATGCGTAGATTTAAGGCTGACTTTAATTTGGAGTTATGTGTTTCCCAGCTTTATGAGAAGAAGGATGAGGATGTTTTTTTCTCCAATTGTACTAAGTTCATATTTAATTTGTTAATCCAGTACTTAGACTCTAGAACCCTAGTGTGACATGACTGAGGCACATTATGACTCAGTTCAGGACAGCATTAGATTTGGACTTATGTGCGCTCAGCAATAGGGAAAGTTTGTTATTTGGTAATTTAATTTCAGTTAAATTGATTTTTAATATGGGTTATACAAACATTCATAAACAAATGTAGGTGATGAGGACATCTATATAAGAATCTTGAATTTAGGAGAACGTATGGGACATTTGAATTATTAGATGCCTTTTCTATATTTTCAGGGGGCATGCATGAAACCTTACCTGTTTTTCGATAAAATTTATTTTCTTTTCCTTTTGTGGATGCAACTATTATTCTTTGGCTTCTTAAAAGTTTATGACAATTATGACTTATAGCAATGATTATGCTGCATAATTTAATTTCTTTTGTAACTTCTAGTGCAGACTTTTTGAGAATGGGTGATGGAGTGGAGAAGAGTCATAATGACATAACCAATGTGCTATTCTGTGGGTTCCATTTCCCTGCTTCACAGAATTACACACGGGAATATTTGAAGGGCTATCCATTCATTAAGGTTTCTCTCTCTCTCTCCCCCCCCCCATATGTGTGTCATTGTTTACATGCAAGCCATCAGCACAATTGACATTGTCTTCATGCACAGTCAGGTTTTATTTGGTTCTTAGAATTACTTTGACTCTATGAACATGACAATTACAGAGCAGCAAACCAGTCTTTGAATCAACTGAAAAAAAAAAAACTGGAATATTGCAACCATAGGTTATTCAAGTAGCTCAGTAAACTTGGAAAACCAGTGGTTAGAAGCAGCTGTGCGCTATCAGATCAAATTTTCATTTTTTTGTGGTTGCCATTTGGGTCTGGTTAAAGAAATAGTGGAATATTGCAGCCATAGGTTACTCGGAAAATAAGTGGTTAGAGGCAGCTGTGACTATCAGATCAAAATTTTTTATGAGGCATGTTGGATCTGATTAAAGAAATAGGCACTAATGTTGGCTAGTTCTCTTTGTTAAAATACACAAGTGATTGTAGTGAGAATGTTTGACTGGGTCATGTCAGAAGGCCCTCGTAAAGTTCAACAGATAAACAACTACAGTTATGTGAGTATGGTTAAAATTTGCAGTAGTTAGTATTTAAAAAGAGATCAAATTAAAGTTCAGACAGAAGTGGCTGGTTAACAAATTCAATGAGTAGTGATCGTGACTGCAGAATGCAAACTAGCTACAAGATGGAATTTGATACACTTGACGAAAATGTACAACCATTTGGCTTGGCTATGTGATGGAGTGGGGGTTTGGTTAGGTAGTTTAAGATCCTAGGAAACTTAAGAATGCATGGTTGAATCAAGATCTCTCCATTAGATGGAGTGATCTGAACAATTTCGATTGCAGGCAATACCTATATCCTTAGTTTAGGGTTTAGGAATATGGCCATCGGACCAGTACATATTGTACCGGTTCAGGCAAAATGTGGAACTGGTGGTAAGTATTAATTGGTTTTTACCAATCTGATTGTAAATCAGGTTTTACCAGTGCGATTGGAGGTTGGTATACGGACCAGTGAAATACCAACTCATACCAGGTAAGCATACTGGGTGGTCTGTCCAGATTTTGACCATTGCATATATGGCTACTGCCCATGCTCTGATATCTCCTAGGTCCCTTTTCTTCATCCAGTAACCTCCTCCTTTTGTATCTCTTTTTTCTTTTCAAACTGAAATCCTCCCTCTCCTTACTTTTACATTTTTTTAGTTAAACATTAAATCGAGTTTCGATTTAATGAAAGCTTTGCATTATTCTGTGGTTCAAGTTAAATTTTGATCTTTTTCTTTAGTTTATTTGCTTTTGCTTTCAAATGGCTTGATTTGTGCTTAGATTCACTCATAGATGCATTTTTCATTCATAAATGAGTAATGATCACAATACATTCCTACAATATAGTAAAACGGGCCAAAAAAAAAAAGTTTATCTTTGCTGCAATTTACCAATGCTGAAAATCATGCCTTTGCCAACCACACAGTGCAAGCATTCTTTTTTTTTTTTTCACTTCCATGTAATGATAGTTTAGTCTATTTTTTAGATATAGCCAATTTGACTTAGATCTTGATTTGGTTAGATTAAGAATAGATTTATCCAGTACTGTTTCCGTTGGTCATCATTTCAGTATCTCCTTGCAGGTTGATGAAGTACCTCTTGATGAGGTGCCTAATGTTATTCACAGATACCACATATGTGTGGTAAAAAATCGGCGCTTTGATGCAACGGTTATTGACAAAGCAGTTCAGATGAAGCTTTTAATGCAGTTTGGTGTTGGGCTTGAAGGTGCCTGAAAGTTATTAATCAATGATTTTTAATTAATCAATTGGCCATCATTGATATTTTTATGACTAGTTTACTTGACTGTGAACTTGTTATCTCTAATCCAACGAAGCATACATTATAACATAGTCCAACAACACTTTAGGAGTGGACATTGAGGCAGCTACTAGATGTAATATTAAAGTTGCAAGAATCCCTGGAAGCAGTACTGGAAATGCTGCATCATGTGCAGAAATGGCGATATATTTAATTTTGGGTCTTCTAAGGAAGCAAGTAGGTTTTTGATTTTGTAAACTTTTATTAGTTTATTCTATTTGCGTTGTCTTTCTTTCTGTTCCTTTTTTTGCTATAAGTTCCAATTTATGCAGTCAAGTGCTAAATGCTGTTGCTACTTGATATTGTTTTGCTACATGATGTCTAGTTCTTTGTCTGATGTCATATTGAATTAAAACCCAAAATCTAATGAGGATCACAAGACATGTAAGCTCTGCATGGACATAGATGACTAGATAAAGTTTTGTTTTTGATATCAAAATGAAAATGAAAACTGACAAAATGAGATGTCATAGTCTCATAGGTAAAATTTCAGAAGCTAGTTATAGCATATATTAAAATTTTTTGAATATCTTAAACTCTCAATATTCCTACTCTGCAACCTGTGATGGTGTCTCAACCTAACCTGATAGGTCCATTGGCCAATCTAATGGGCCTTTAGCCACATGACCAAAATATGTAAATCTGGATTACCATTGGTGAGCCCACATAGCCTTATATATAATCATACTGTTCTTCCCATTTCTAATATAAATAAATTGGGCAGTCACAACTCCCCCTTCGAAGGTTTGATATTCTCTTCAAGGTTCAATACATAATCCAGAATCATTGTTTCTATTTGGTGGCATCTGAGACCTACGGTCTAATGGTAGCTTCACATCATGGCATATCTCATGGGCTGTACATGGATATCCCTTTCCTAGTCTGACTTATTTATTGCACATTACAGCAATAGATCTGATCTAATACCTGTAGTTGTCAAAATACAAGCTTATAGGCCTGCTAATCCTGTAAGTTGGTATTATGAGCCTCTAGCCCACATTATTTGTCGAGGTGGGGGAGGAATTTGTACTATGAAATTGGAATCAAATATGATGATAGAGAGGATTTCATCAAACAGAACTTGAACTAGGCTTTGGTTGTGGAATGGTAAGCAGACATTGTTTTGGCTGATGTTAGTGAGTCCACCTAACCATTGTACCATCATAAACCCCTCACTTCTGATGTGTGGCTAAATCCAATTATTGCAATTAACTAATTATGATGTTGGAAAATCTGATATATATATTGAACAATGCATCATACTGTTGACTACACTTTTCATGTAATCAATGATTATCTATTTGCCTATGTTGATGGTATTAAATAAACAGGTAGGACGTGCATATTCTGTTAAGTCAATATAAGTTGCTGAATTACTTTTCAGTCTTCAGCTTGCATGTTCACTTTCTTCTGTGCCATTTTTTGATAACCAGCAAACCAAGAAAGTGCTGTTTTTACCAAACTTCTAACCTGACGTGTTGCAACAATTTGCTAAATATGTTAGATTCATAATATAAGGTGCTCTTTTAAATGTAAACAAAATTTGCAAAAGGAATTGCAGAAACAATACAAACTATGTGTCTTACCATCACTGGCTTGCAAAACCTATTCTTGCTTTTTCTTTTTCATCATCTGAAGTTTCTTTTGTTTGTGATATCAATAGATGATTTGCTCGTGTAAGCTGCCTTTGTTTTCTTGCAGAAGGAGATGGACAATGCTGTAAAACTGAAAAATTTAGGAGTGCCAGTGGGAGAAACCCTACTTGGGAAAACAGTATGTTTTACTTTTCTTGATTAATTTATTAGCTTAACATTGTTATGTTCTGTATTCATAGCCTATTTAACACTTTTAAAGTTGTGGATGGCACTTGTCGCCTGGCATGCTACTAAAGTGTGCCAATGGCATAGATTACAAGAAAAAAGAAGAGAACAAATGAGAAGAATTAACGGAATCTTAACTATGACAGTAAGGTTCTGTGTTGCTAGTGTAGATGCCTCAGCAGCATGAAAGGACTGGAAAAAGAAAGAAAAGGAAAAAGAGGAAGAAAACAAGCAAAAGCTCATACCTTGTTTCTAGGTTTTCTGCAGTATCTGCAGCGGTGGACAGATCATGGCTGACTTCTTTTGCATTTTTGTGAATGAATTAGGGTTGTGCTTCTTTGCATAGTATGGTGCACTCGGCTGAACTTTGACTTCTTTGCAGTAGTCTGCATATGAAGAAGGAACCTCAATGTCGAGCGAGAAGATACAATGAATATAAGGGTTTGGATAAGGGAATTTTGGTTCAGTTCAACTTATAATTCGCTTGGCATGGTTCATCAACAAACTATCTATGAAAAGGGGAAATAAGAAAACAATGGACATGTTAGGGTATAGTGTCCGGGAGATTAGGAGTATAGCTTGCCTGTAGGCCCTTTACCCTACTGGAAAAGCACCTATTAATCTGTATTGGCCATCAGACCCATTATTGTAACATCCATGGTCAAGCCTGGTGATATTATTACACTAATGTAAGGGGGCATTAGTTCTAGCATCAGTGTTGGCATGAAGTACTGACTGAACTTGCAGCATTCTACATGGTTGACATGAGAATTACATGGGGCAATACTAATGTCACTAGTGGCACGAAGTGCCAACTCAACTGGCATTATTTGATGTGGTTGGTATCACAATCATCGAAATTTGTCACAATTTTTTTAAATTTCAAGTTTGCTGATAATTTGCCTTGGGCGCATATTTCTTCTCAGCAACTGACCTAATGCATTTTATGAATGCTGCATGACCCAATCTACATTTTGTCATAGATGGCTTTTTCTGTTACTTGCTGCAAGAAATAATGATACCTGGTGAGATATACCTGAAACTAAAAGTTGTATATTTATTTGTTGTAAATCATAACAATTACAGCATACGATCTATGTTCACTTTTATCTCATGGAGTATTACTTGATAACAAATATATTCCTCATTGTGGCTAACACAAATTTGGCTTTCTTTTATTCCTAATTTGGGAGATGAGGCTGCATTTGGTAAGAAATTGTGTTTTGAAGTGTCTGACAGAGGGACATCAACATCCTCTTTCCTCAAGTATAAGTTTACTTTTAGCCTCCCAGAATACTATCATATCTAAGAACTTTTAGTCCAATTTTTGTTTTATTAGTTCACATAGCATGCATCTAATGATTGTTTAAACTGCAGGTTTTTATTCTGGGATTTGGAGCTATCGGAGTTGATCTAGCAAAGAGGCTACGACCATTTGGAGTTAAAATTCTTGCAACTAAAAGGAACTGGACTTCAGTGTCACTGCCACCAAATGGTATGTGTGATGTTTGTCTGAGTTCTGTAAGCATAAGCATTGTCTTGGTTTTGAGACTCTTGCTTTCTGTCCTATATCCAGCCTCAGGTGCACCAAATGACGAAATTGATCACTTGGTTGATAAGAAAGGTGGCCCAGAAAACCTTTATGAATTTGCTGGAGAGGCTGATATAGTTGTTACCTGCTTGGCTTTAAATGCTGCAACAGTCAGTCTTATTTCTTTTGTCTTTCCTATCATATTTCTTTCTTGGTTCTTTACTTATCAAAAAATTATGGAAATTTCAGGCTGGTATCGTGAATGGAAGATTCCTCTCGTCAATGAGAAAGGTTGGAACATCAAAAACTAAGATTTAAACTGGCAATTCTTTTGACCTCTTACGCACAATAAAATTTTGTTTTGTCATATCTGAAGTGCATTGTGAGTTAAGCTACAGTTTGCTATGTAGACACAGAAGAAGAGATGTTACTGTTAGGTATTACTAATATATTATTCCATTTGAAGGGCTCACTTCTGGTAAATATTGCTCGAGGAGGCTTACTGGATTACAATGCTGTCCATCAGCACCTTCAATCAGGTCATTTGGGTGGCTTAGCTATTGATGTTGCTTGGACAGAGCCATTTGATCCTGAAGATCCAATTCTAAAGTTTCCCAATGTTTTAATCACACCTCATGTTGCTGGTGTTACCGAGTACTCCTACAGAACAATGGCTAAGGTATATATATTATATTGCTCCCACCTTGTATTAAATAATTTAATTTGTCATTTTTGCATTTTCATCTTGAGGTTTTCATGCCTGCTTTTGGTGAAATCCAACTGTTGGAGAATTATAGCGTAGCATCAAGAAATCAAGAAATCAACCATATCTAAGGTTACTCAGTAGATAATCCAACTGTTGGCTTAGCTATTCATGTCTGCTTGTATTTCATGGAACTAGTTTTAATAGATATACACTAGAGACAGTGCCTTTATTCATAGCTTAATGGATGAAAAAGCTTCACATAACCAGCTGTTGTTGTTTAACATCATGTAACGTTGATGCAACATCTAAATTGAAGGGAACATTTGCATAGATGGATGAAAACCTCAAAAATGGTATCCTCGTGGTCATAATTACTTGCCTGTATTTCATTTAATGCATTCAAAATAAATAATTAGAATCTATGTGCACAGTAGGGTATGCATACTGATGCCATTAGTCTCAGTTTAGTATAATTTTGCATGTGACGATGTGCTAGGCAGAAGGATGCATTTTACAAGGTTGAGCAAAATATTTTAAATTTATTTTTGAGGTCATGGTGGTGTTATCTAAATGTTGGACGTGATAATGCAATTCGATACCAATGCATTTGTGGAATAAGCAAAAAGGAAATCTTTCTAGATGAATTACTGTACTACTTTTGATAAACATGAGTTTTACAAAGTTGCCTGAGAACTGATTGTACAGAAATTCTTGTTGCTACGACACTTGGATGAGCTCTTTGGGTTGAGAGTTCCAATTGTTCTCCTTCGTTTGTGTTGTAGGTTGTGGGTGATTGTGCTCTTCAACTTCATGCTGGAAGTCCACTCACAGGAGTAGAAATTGTGAACTAGTTGGAGACAGCTCGGGCGTGACGAGTTGGAGTTAACGATGGCTCAATTGTTTCAAACTCAAAATTGGATTTGGTTGTTCCATCTCTATCTTGCTATATAGATTATTGCGATTGCAAAACAGGATACCAAAATGATTTCTTTTCTCTAATTTCAGTCATCATCTTGTCCAACTTAAAGATTGCTTTTGGAATGCTTGAACAATAATAATGCATATGCTAGAAAAGGAGATCCACTACCTTAAATTGTGGATCTCTCTCTCTCTCTCTGCATCATTCATCTTAACTTGTTTATTGTGAATGTTTTCTGTTCTCTTTCAGTTGTTTTTTGTAGCATGAAAAATGAAAAGATACTGCCCGAAATGATTGTTCTATTGGAAGTTCGTTAACAGTTTGATATCAAAGTTTCTTTAGACATATTCATATTTTTGTAACACATGGGGTAAGATCATTTTAATAAATATTCATATTCTTGTAACACAGGTTAAGGTCATTTCTCATTAAAAGTGGCAGTAGCTACATTTTTAGTGCTGGGGTACAGATTTGCCTTTCTTTTTTTTTAATAATAAATAAATGACAGAGTGGGTTATACTTTTTTGTATCCAATATAAGGTCACATGACATCATCATCTTCATTATAAGGCTTTGTTTGATTATTAAGATAATTTTTTAGTATTGCATCTATGATTAGTCCACAAGAGATCAATGCCATCTTTAAGCTCAAATCTTACCACTATCAAGGACTACAAATTGGATCATGTAAAAACCATGTTTATTTACATGCCTAACAACAGTGTAATCTATGGTCATCTATACCTTGAAAATTAATCTGATGATGATATACCAGATCTATCTATTAGGGATTGAATATTTGAAATTTGCTTCAATGTATTTTTATTGATTTATACATAAAACATATAATTGAGATTTTTTGTTTTTTCATTATTATTGTTGTATACATAAAATATTACTCCCATAGTGATGGATTTGGAAAAGATTGAAGATTTAAAATCTCATACATTATATTTTAATTTTTTAAAAAATATCTGTAAAATGTTTATATGCTAACAAAAATATATTGTAGATCCACAGGAGCTTTACTTTTTATTTACTGAGCTAATCTCCTTCCTGGATGGAATTCAAAGAAGTCTATATTTCTCTTTGTTTCCTAAATCCTTTAATCACATTCCTAGTTAGCTTAAAGAATTCATATCAATGCAAGAACAGTTTTGGTTTATAGCCACACTGGTAAGCAACTTGCACATCATCACCTTTGACCTTTCCTGCTTCATGATGCGCCAGCTCATCCCACAATTCTAGCTCCACCACCCACCTGCTACTTCTTTGTCCCCCTTCCACCACTCCAATCTCCCACTACCCAATACACCACCCTCACTGCCACCATCATCGCCTACCAAACCCTACATCTCCACTCTTTGTTGTTCATTTTGTCTTGCCAGGAGCTTCCCTTTCCTGCCATTTCTCAGTCTGGCAGCAAGATGAATGGGTATTCCAAGATGGGAGTGAGCACTGGCATCACAACCAAGCTGAGTTCCACAGACTTGTCAGACCTCACCTTCTCCCTTGAACCAAAAGAACCCACACCAGAGGAAGCTGGCGTGAAGATTCAGGAGGGGGAGGAGGGCCACCAGAGGAATGGGGCGATACTTGGCAGGAACTGCGGCTCTGTCTCTCAGAGGTTCCGGGACAATGGCACCACCAGCCTTCACAACATGGTGAGGAGGGCCTTCTCCATGAGGAAGCCTTCCTCTGCTGCAGGAGGCTACTGGAGGATGCATGACACTGGTGATGGAGATGGGGAGTTTGTAGAGCAGGAGCAGCAGGAGGAGGAGGAGGTAAGGTCTTCAAGGAAGAAGAAGAAAGGGAAGCTCCTTAGGGCATGCAAAAAGCTCCTTGGAATTTAGACATTGTCTTCTGTGTTTTTGCCAACACACAAACAAAAACATATAGATTGAGAGAGAAAATAAAAAACTTTTCTCTTGCTTTTGATGTTATTAAGGCCTCATGATTTAAGCATTACTGTTTCTATCAAATGGTACTTGGTTTTTAGTCTCTCAAACTCTTCTTATTGTTTCATCCTTGGTGAGCACATGAACTATATTTTGGTTTGCTTTGCCTCCTTCTCAAATAGTGGTTTGATATAATACTATGATCTCTAACAGTTCTAAAAATGAAAATAAAAAAAAAGTCATTTTGTCTTTTTCAAACATTAGTTTATCATTTCTCTTTTGGGCTATTAGAGGAATTCAGAGAAATAGTATATGCAGGACCTCTTGCCATCTTATCTTTCTGAAATGAACTCCTTAATTTTAGTTGTATTTTTTTTTCTTTCTTTTTGTATCCAATTCCCTCTTAGTAACTTCAAAGTTGTCTGCCTATCTTTTAATTTCTTTTATCCCCCAATAAAAAAACACAGACATCCTCACAAATAAAGTGCAGAGAAGACTCCAAAAGCAATTATGACCATCAACCTTATACCTGCCTTGTTTTCATCATTTCCCTTTATTAATGATACCAAAGCAATTCCAAAAGCAATTATGAATCCAAAATTTGGGAATTTTTCTTTGTTTGAAATTCTTTCACTCGCTTATTTTTGAATGATTAAACCAAAAACAATCAAAGAAAGGAGAAAAAAAAACATACATATTATCATTGAAGTAAGTTTAAAATTGGATGAGTCTTTGATTATTTTTCATATTTTCAATGCTTGGAAATAACATATTTGTCTTCATACATGTCTCTCATCAGCACCCATATATAAAATTCAAGTTAATTAATCGTAATTCAACGGTTAATATTAAATAATTTGACCAAAAAAAGATTAAAAAAATTCAAATATTCTTAATATCATTTAAATGCATTAATGTAATTTAAAATTTCAAAAGACTAAATACAATGAGTACAAGTTGTAATGGTTTTATAGCACAAAAAATCTTTGCTTTATTATTATTATTATTATCATATAATAATGCCTTTCTTTCAAAATCTCAATCCTACCCTTCTAAGTTTGATGGACTCACTGGAGATTCAATTATTATTTCATGCAAAAAATAAATGCCGATTCAAAAGTGTATATGTGCTTAACATATTTCTATAACCGTATACAGTTAGATATACCAAATCTATTTATCAGATTCGTAGCCTCCTTCCTCAAATCTAAAAATGAGTTGGTTGCCGTTCTAATTCTCGAAAAGGCGGAAGGCAGAGTTGGAGCGACAGCGGCCGTATCGGAGGAGAGTCGCCAAAATCTGTGGTCGGAGGCGCTGCTCGTTGGACCTTTTTAAGCCCCGTCCCTCCCCAACTATCGTCCGCCCCATTCGACGGCTACCAGGAAGGAAGAGGAAGGATTCCACTCGGATAAAGGCGAGTTGTTTCTTTTCCTCCGTTAGCCCTCTCTGATCTGTCTTTTAGGGATTTCTGGCCCTGTCCTCTGTTTCCGTCTCGAATCTTCACTTGGCGGAGTTTTTCTGCTTGGTTCGATGGCGTCCCTCCTCTCCCTTGTTTCCGTCTCGAATCTTCGGGATCACTGATGATGGGTTTTGTTTCCCCTTTTTTTTGTTTTATCTTGATGTTCTAGGGAAGAAAAAATCGTATTTTGCTTGTTGGGAGCGAATTAGAACCCTAAGAAAAGGTTGCGGAGTTTCCCATCTATTTCTCATTAATTCCTGGGGCGAAAAACTGATATTGGGTGGATTTCTTATCCCTCCGCGTGTTCTAAGCGGACTCCTTTTGAGATCGATCATCCAAAGTGTTAGTGCGATGATTATAATGTAGGTCATAAATTTGATGCAAGATAGTTCGGTCTTGGCAGACGGATGTTCGCGACGTAGGTTGTAGGATGAATACGATAGGTAGTCGGTCAGAGAAACAGAGTGGATTGTGGCGAGAATTAGGATTCTTTCGATCGTCGTCAAGGTTGCACAACAGTGAGGATTAGGTCGAGCTTGCTCACCGTGCCAAACCTGCTTCTTTTTTGTTCCTCCAGCTGGTTGAATTCGAAGCAGGCCATAACGTTGACGCCTCATGGCAACAGCCGCAGCAGCAGGCGACGACGACGACTCCTCTTCGCCGTCGTCGATGTCCCCGAGGAACCGGCTTAAGTTCCTCTGCAGCTACGGCGGCAAGATCCTCCCCCGCCCCTACGATGGCCTCCTAAAGTACGTCGGCGGCGACACTCGCGTCCTTGGCGTCCCCCGCTCAATCTCCTTCTCAGGTCTGCACTCTCCACCACCTCATGCACTAATGCCATCTTTCGTGGACGTCAATGTCGTGCATGCATGGGTGGCAGAGCTCAAGGAGCGGATCCAGGGGATGTTCCGCCGCTGCGAGCTGATCAAGTACCAGCTGGTGTCCGAAGACCTCGACACCCTCGTCACCGTCACCTGCGACCAGGAACTCGTCCACATGCTCGAGGAGTACGACCGGCTCGACGCCCTCCACCCCTGCTCCCCCTCCTTCGCCTCCTCCCCCCGCTTCCGCCTCTTCCTCTTCGCCTCCCCCTCTGCCACCTCGGCCTCTGGCTGCCACCGCCCCGCCGCCACCCTCGACCAGCGCTACGTTGACGCCATCAACACCGCCGCACCCACCAGCCCTCGGCGCCCCATGTTCACCGTCTCGTCCGCTTCCTCCGCCTTCACCTCCCCCACCTCCACCATCGATGGCCCCGCCGCCCTCCTCGCCCTCCGTCCCAACGCCCCTCTCGGCGGCAGCATGCAACGGGTCCAGAGCACGCCCAACCTGAGCGGCGGTGGGATGCATCGGGTAAGCAGCACGCCTAATCTGGGCCAGAACAGCGGTACGGGCCCGCAACATCACCACAACCACCACCATCACCACCCCCACCACCTTCACCGGCAATATACCTCGGCGGCAGCGGCGTACGGGGCGCAAGCGGCCGGCATGGGCGGGGTCTGGAGGAACAGTGGTGCCCGGCGCCACGAGGCGGGCGGGTTCGGGAGCATATCCTGGGTTCCGCCGGCGGCACCGAGGGGCGGAGTCCCCTACGGCGGCGGAAGCGTGTGCTTCGGGCACGCCGACGAGGCGCCCTCCGGCCGCCAATCGAGGAGCGGCTCACCATTCCGCGCCCCGCCTCGTGAGCCCATCATTTGGGAGTAGCTCCCAGCCAAGGGCTCCACGATGCGGGCGCGCGATCTCTACCGTCCATCGTGTTATTCTTTTTTCGTTTCCTGTTTCGTAACGTTGAAACTGTTTTAGAGATACATTTGTTTTTTGGGGGGATCTCCGTGCTTCGGGCATGAGATCTGTACCGTCCATCGTGATGTGTGTTTTTGTTTTCTGTTTCGTAAATCGTGACGTTTGAACCATCACGGAGAAACGTTTTGTGTGCCTTATGGGGGAGCTGCATAAGGATTCCACGTTGTTCTGGACCGATCTGGAGCATCGGACGGTTAGAAATGACCGACCGGCTCTGAATCTTTGTTTCAACACCATTTATACCCAATACATATAACCAATCCATCGGTTGTGGTTTCTGTTTTATTAGAACACATTTGAACTATGTGAGCTGCACAATTTCTGTTCACTCTCTTTCGAAAAGTCAACCTGAGTCAAAGTCAACGCAAAAGCAAAAGTACAGCAATTGACATCAATTTGAAGATGCCAAATATAGTGATGGAGATGTTGGTGTAGGATTGACGTGGCAAACTTCTCTCATCAAATGCAAGACACGGAGTCAAATCTGAATGAAAAGCTAAACCCGACCCGAATATTTAGTCTCGTCTTTCGAATCCGGTTATTTTAGGCGGGCCGGCGGGTTCACCCGAAATGGTCGCCCAGCTATAAAGAGACTTCGAGTTCCAGATCGGCCGATCCAAGGTCACAACTCCACGGTGCAAACAAACGGTAAACGGACGCTGACAGCCAATCCAAGGTAATTACAACTGACAGATCAACTAAGTAGTTACAACAAATTAGTTCATTGTAGTCAACATTTATATGCATTACTAAGCAAACCCTAAACTAAAATTTGAGGTCCACAGTGCGCGATAAGTGGATTTGCCGTCTCCTTCCTTTCTCGTTCACAGAAGCAAATATTGATCGGATCATCGAACCGCGCGGTGTGTGGCTGAAGAATTCCCATGGTGGCCAAAACAGTAGGAAATGAGCGTCTTGCTGGAGCCAGAGAGAGTTCGTGGCTTATGCCCAACGGGAGCTCTCGAGGTGTTCGACTAATTGTCCTGCGGCATGGCAAACTTGAGTGCAAGCCCGGCGACCTCGATCCTGTCGAAAGGCTTCCCTCACGTTCCTGTACAGAAATCTCGGTTCACTTGTCGAACACCTGTACCCAGCAGAAGATTGTGCTTAAGATCCTCACAGAAGTGCAGATTGGGACACGGGGGAAGGAGTGGGGCGAGGGAGAGGCTGTTGGGAAGGTGGTTTGTGGGCTGCTCCTCTACTGCAGGAGAGGTTGGAGTTGTGAGCGAGGATGAGAGTGGGAAGGCCGGGGTGGGAGATGGTCAAGATAAGTACTTGCTGAGGGAGTTCGGATGGGGAGTTAGGAGGATGGCCAAGGTGGGAGAAGAGATGAGCAAGGTGGCACATGTCCAGGCCGAAGCTTTCCACACTCCTGTGGCTCTGTTAAATGATCTCTTCTTCCATATGTTTAAAGTAAGATATCCCCTGCTGATTTAGTATACCCTCATATTGCTTCAATCTGATTTACTAGTGTCCTGATTTATACATCCTATTTCTCTTTGATATTATGTCTGAATTCTTATTCATGAGCAATGAGATCTCACACTTTTCTTTGGGAAATTACTTTGTCTATGCTGCCAATAGAATGTTATGTACCATCTGCAAGTATTACAATACGCGGCAATTCACTTGTCTCCATTAGTTGATTTTTCAATTTAAGAATGGAAGCTTTAATCACATTTTTTTTTGGGAATATAAAAAGGGGATTTAATTACCTTCTCCTTACTGTTGTATACTTGTTATTCCTTTGCGTTTTCCCCAGGTTGCTAAGCTTTTTTCTTTGTCTTATTTAGGTCAACATCTGTCTTATTTAAGATGCACATAATTTTAGGTTGAATTTAGGTAGAAAAAAATGGTATGCAAAAGAGTAAAATGGAAAAAACTAACACATTAAATTGTTTGTGCAAGAGAAACATAAAATTAAATATTAATTTCAATCTCTTAGATGATTTTCCGTATTCATATAGCCAGAAGTAGTTGGACATGTTTACTTTTTTCCTGTTTTGTTCAATTTGGATTTTCATCGTTCTAACTTCATGTGTGAATATTGTCTTTTTGGTTCTGCACAAGACAGGCTGAAGTGCTTTCCGCTCTTATGTACAGAGTTAGAAGTTCACCACCTGAAAGGTCAGTTCTTATGACATCATACCTGATTGGTATTTAGGGATTCATATGCAACCTGTATATTGTAATTTTTTAAAAATTAACTTGGCTGTGTCCATGTTCTCTCATACGTATATGTTATTGTCAAAGTCGACTTCATTACTAGTTTCTGCTAAGAAGCCACTTTGAAATACATTTTTATATCATTCTTATTTTTAAGAAATGATTTGCAGCTCTGATATGCTATTAAGGACTTTATTTTGTCAGTAGATAATTGTATAATTGACTTGTACCACTGTATAATTGGGTAGTTCAATTTTTTCCTTTCATTTCAGGTTACAAGAAGCTGGAAAGGAATAGATGAAAGCTTAAATGCAAAAGTTATCTTCAAATAATGAAAATAATTGGATACTAAATCAAATTTGTCGCAGAATGGTGTTAACCTACTGCACATTCGATCATTATGCATCTGTATTTCATTAGTCCTTGATTCCAAGGTTATTAGAATAATCTGTGCACGTATTAGTCGATTCTTATGCATATTGAAAAAACTATAATAGAATGTCATGTCATAGACAGTAGTTGGAATCTGGCAAATAGCTACAGAAGACACTCTTTAAGATATGCTATTTTAATGAGCTATGGCTTGAACTATTGCTATTTTTGACTCTAGATAGCATTGATCTTAACACACTTAGTTTACAGGAAAAGTTATTTTCTTGTTATTAATTTATTACTGCAGGGCAAACCGGATTGTACTAAAATAACAACCATGTGTTAGGTAAAGATAGAAAGCAAACATTGAGTATCATAAGTTTAGTTTCTTTGTGCTCAATGAGACATCTTATTGATGATACATTATCGCTCGTCATATGGAAAAAAGAATCAGCTCCTTATTCTTAGTTTTGAAAAGTTTAGGACATCCAATTAATGCATTTGCAGTTTAACATTTAACTAATTCTATGATTATCTTGTCCGAGCAGATATATTATTTTCTCTTTTTATCCAGTTTGTTATGCTGTAGCATTATTTTAATTAAGTAGCTATAGGCCTCTCTAGTCTCATTATTTTGGCTCCTGGTATTCAAATTGACATAATGTTCATTTTCATCTGGATTCATACTTAAGGAATTAAATTCAGAAGCATTTTACTAAAACATCCAAGTATGTAATGTGCAATGGCAACGGAAAATGCCTCAGTTTATCGATCATGAAGTATTATAAAGATTTTAATTTTTCTTGAACTGTGCAGGTATGCTTGTTTGGTCGCAGAGTCTGCTAGTGCACATAATTCACTTTGGGAACCACTGAAGGAGATTGTGGGGGTTGTTGATGTCACAGTTCAGAGAGATGAAGATGTTCTTTGCCATATCCAAGGCGAACAAGAGTATCTCTATATTTCAGGAATAGCAGTTCTAACGAAGTTTAGGTAAATGAAAATCTCATTGTCTTCTAAGTTTATTATTGCTCAATTGAATTTTTCTTTTTATGATAGCTTGACATGTATCCTGGTGTTTGAAGGTAGTAGCTGAAATGTTACTTTGCCTGCCTGATATGATGCTACAATTTTGTCATTCTAAAACATAACGGCATTTAGAATAACATGCATAGTAATATAAGCTACATGAGAAACTGAACCGACATATTAATTTTAAAAACAAACATAATTTAGCATTCATTTAAAATCTTTAATATTTCTTATATTAGGTACATATAAAATCTTTAGATCCATCGATTTAATTGAACATTAATATTACTGGAAGTCTCATGGTCCTACCTTCTTTTCATGTTGCGGCAGGTTGAATGCTGTATCTACAATGTTCAGTATTATTGGACCAAAAACTAACTGTGAGATATGCTAACATGCTGCATCATGATGCTCCAAAGAATGATTCATTCATAAGAAAGGATATATTTGTGGGAGTTATTTAACATCACACTAATTGCCATTAGTAGTTTGACATGTACATTTATGACAGTTTTTGATGAATATATCACTATAAAATGCTCATAGCTCATCTTTTCTTTTATTCTGTTTCTTCCTATCTTCCCTTTCTAAGAAGTTCATGGCTTCTGACATTCACTTTAAAGAGCATTGTGAAAGCACAATATTTTTCTTTGTTTATGACTAGTTGTTGTATCCTTTTGGCACTGTAATTAAAAGAGCAAATATCTCAGCCTGAGTATTATGATGATTGCAACATCAATATCTGTTTCCAGATACAAACTTCATTTTATTTCCTTGTAGTGCCATACAAGAAATTTGATGTCTGGCAATAAATTTAGGTGTCGAAAGCAAGAACATCTTGTTGCCTGCAAAACTGTAGCATAAAAGATGCTGCAGGGACTAAAAGCTTTTAGTCAAGGGATTTTTTATGAACTTTCGAGCCTGTACACTGGAAGGACTTTGACATTACAATATGGACAATTATTTCTATCCTATGTAGTTCTCAATGAATTGGCAAATTGAGAGTCGATCCATGCTAAGATGAATAGAAATACAAATGACAAGTAGAATTTTCCCATTTTGGATGATCTTACATTCTTTTACCCCTACCCTCACAGTTTTTAATCTAAAACATGCAAGCCAATGGCACTTTTACTCTTTAATGTAATCCATTTGGTACCTTTTAAAACAACATGTAACCCCAAGTCTCTTGTCATTTTGATTTATTTGTTTCAATACAATGACATGTGTGGTTAATCTCAATCAACATCGCAGGAGGCAAAAAATAGCAACTGTACTGCTGAAAGCCTGCGATGTGCTATCGGCTTTGTGGGGGTTCAGCTACTTGGCATTGAGAGCTCATGAAGATGATTTTGGAGCTCAAAGGTTGTACTCGAATGCAGGCTACAAAGTGGTGTCAAGAGATCCAATCTGGATTACCTGGATTGGAAAGAAGCAGCGTGTTCTTATGGTCAAGCCATCACCCTTTTACAAGACAGACTTCATGTGAATACATAATGTCAAGAATTTGCACCTCTGATATTTTCCAAGATTACAGTGGTATAAAAAGCAAATCCTCAAAGCAGTGTCAACTTGTGATGCCCTCTTAAATCTTGAACCAGTTGTTGTCAGCAAGTACAAGCCATTTTATTACAATGTTCTGAACATGTAGATGTTTGAGATCATTCTTGTCTGTAAGTTAGAGACTGTAGCAACAGATTCAAACTCAAAACAGCACAATGCCAGTTTAAGATCAAGCTTGTGCTCTTTCAAGATATAATCTCAAAGAAATTTTGAGGAGTGAATTATCTTACTAAAATAAGATGATATTGAGAAACCATAAGCTGTTCCTTGTGTAAAAGGGTGATAAAATCTGTCTTGTTATTTATGTACAGGGAAAGCGAAAGGTATCTGTATCAAGCTATATTATTCTTTTGCCAAACAGCACCTCAAGTTGATTGACTCAACCATTAGGTTTCAGCATACTGCTTCTATACTCATAAATGTGCAAACTACAGATGTATAAGTGAATTTTAATGTGTACATCTCTAAATTTAAATTTAGCATATATATATATATATATATTCTCGTAAACATGTTATTGTTGAGACTAAATTATTCTGCCGGTTGAGTGTAAAAAGGAGAATACTCAGAACAATTTAAATATTTTATTTTTTATATTAAGTTAATGGGAAGAACATATGTGGAGGATCTTAATATTTGAAGATATATATATATATATATATACATACTATATTAAAGTTTACAAAAATAGATATTCTATTTCCAAACTTTTTAAGATAGGTAAAACCCTAATAAATAAAATATACAAGATTGCATTTTATATTGCAACATGGGAGCATTTCAAACAGCATAATAGGAAAATTAGGTACCATATGAATTGGTATTTTTTATATTTACATTATATATATGTATACATAAAAACATGATTAGTCGACTATCATAAAAATAAAAATGTTGAAATTCTATTTAATATTAATATCTATAAAAACTTGAACTTTATCCCTCTTAAATTAATAATTTTTTACTTTAGAAACAAGAAATCAAACAATAGATGATAAGTGGTACTTTAAATATTTAAAATTTAGTGTATTCTCAAACTTAATGGCCATCATGTTAATGATGATTAACCTGAATTTATGGAACCAACATTAACAACAACAATATATATATATATATATATATATATATATATATATATATATATATATATATATATATATATATATA